GCGTGCAGCGTGAGCTTCTATTAAGCAATTCAAACAGTTCTATAATATTTATCTGTTTCCTTATTCACTTTGTAAGGCAGGGATAACTTTAACACATTAATGTAGAATTTGCGCTATTTAAATTCAGAAAGTAAATGTGTTACATTGTGCAAATATTGAATGTGTCATATTGTCCCAATATAAAATGTGTCATATTGTCCAAATAATAAATGTGTCATATTGTCCCAATATTAAATGTGTCATATTGTCCAAATAATAAATGTGTCATATTGTCCCAATATTAAATGTGTCATATTGTCCCAATATTAAATGTGTCATATTGTCCCAATATTGAATNTTGAATGTGTCATACTGTCCCAAATATTGAATGTGTCATATTACCCTAATATTGAATGTGTCATATTGTCCCAATATTGAATGTGTCATATTGTCCCAATATTGAATGTGTCATATTGTCCCAATATTAAATGTGTCATATTGTCATATTGTGAACCCACACAGGAACTTATAGTGCATCACTATCTACTAATTAATTTCTCTAGAAGCACATTATTCGAAGCTTAACACAAACTGAACATGCGATGTTTGCATGAATTAATGCAAACCAACTGGCAATAACTCCGGCAATGTCTGTAAGGACATCACGGTCATGGTTGAATTAATACATGTATTAATTAATACATGTAATTAATACAACCATGATCACGGTTTCCCATTGAGCAGCATGGATACGCGATATTCAAAAACAGTGCAAACATGTTATGCCTTAGCAATCACAGACACAGTAATAACATGTTGCCTCTATAAGCTGAAACATAACAATTCAAATCAAGATGAAATTCAAACGTGATGGGTTCAATGACCGGAATGTAACAGCATTCTTCAGTCTCTTGAACGCTTTTAGATCCAAATGAACAATTCAGAATAATTTATAATCACGAATTCCAAGCTCCTATTGCATCAAATTAAAATGGGTATTGTTAACATTTCGACCCAACAACGCAACGAAGGTATCTATTTTAAAATTTAAAAAATATTATCGTGAAGTGTAAACTCCGTCGTTTTAAATGTTCTAGGTTCTTTAATTTACAGAACAAATTAAGAATTAAATTCATTGATGCGATTCGGAAATAAATTATATATATATTTTTTTCTCAAGTTATGTTCCTATAAGGATTGTACTGATGAACAGTGTTTTTTTATAATATTTAATTTAAGAAAATTTGGTGCAGCGGTAGAAATGATTGAGAAGATGTGAGTAGAAATCCTACGTTTACTACTTCGTACAGCAGTAGGAAGGACTATTACTTATAAATGCGAGCAGAAAATACTATGCTTATGAATCGTACTTAAGTGAGTAAAAACACTGCATTTACATCTTCGTACAGCATAGGAAGGAATACTGCTCGGAGTAGAGATTACTACTTTAACTACATAATACATAGACGAATGATGCATGAATAATTTCATTAACATCGTACTGCTAATGAGAAAGAAGAGGAACATGCTCGCTATGATTAACAAGATCTCATTAGTGCCAAGCACCCCTGTGATATGAGCAGATGAGCAGCAGATTTTTTTTAATATGAGAAAATTAAATCTGACTTAGATTCCTCATCCAAAACAACATCCAATTACTCTTTTATTTTTCAATATTGAACATTTTATATTTACACGTAAGCATAGAATTTGATGCAACAATAAATCCCTCATTTTCATTTATCCAATATTATAACTCATTCAATTTTCACACTAAAATTAATTATTACCCCTGCCGTTATATTAACGTGGCTGTGAGTTCACATTCATGTAAATTTCTGAACATTCAATTCCCTGTGTAATATCATTTTATTTATTCATTTAAATACATAATGTTGCACTGTTTATTGTTAATTAGTAGCTAGTTGGATGGCCGTTACTAATAATTCAGGAAGCTGGTCGTTTGTTTAAATAAAGCCTTGACAGCCCTATTAAGCCTCCACTATTCTACAACATAGGGACCAAAAGAGAAGGAAATTTCACACCTCCACGAGGATTTCAAAGTATTCTCCGCACGAAAAAAGAAAAAGTTGATTCCTAGGCAGCAACTAACGCTTAGAAAACTAAATCTAGATTTTACCTAACAGTAACCTTTAGACTTTAGATGTCCGAATTCGATTAAAAAAGTTCATAATGGGCGAATTTAGAAAAAAATACACATCAGCCAACCCTTCCCTTATAGGCACTCGTAGCGTCGTAGGCGGTGCACATCCGAACACAAAAGCAGCGTTACTGTGATGTTGTATGATATGGGACCTAATGAATGGCATAAATTGAAATTTTATCACATTTTTATCTCGCAGTCATGTGTTTTTCTCAGTGAGGGCAGCCTATATGAGGACAGCCTATGTGAGGGCAGCCCATGCAAAGGCAGCCTATATGAGGGCAACATATGTGAGGGCAGCCTATGTGAGGGCAGCCGCCTTATCAGGTCCCGAGGGTCGTGTCCCAGTAATTTTGATAGGATCAAAAAGCTGCCCTTTGAACGCCAGTCGATTGACCAGGGATTTTAGGCGTTAAAATGCAACTCGTTTCAAAAATAAATACCGTGAAGAACACGAAAACTGACCCGAAAATGCAATAAACTACGAATAAAAGAGAGCAAAGCCACACGTAAAAAGGCATTCCCTGGAGAGAGACACCGTACATTTTCCAGCAACGTCTGTCGTAATCCGGGGAGAGGCGCCAGGGATGCTATATAAAAGACGTTCGGGCAGGAATAGGGCCTATATCAGAAGATTGAATGAATACTTTTTATTTTATCTTACTTCTTTACGATATGGTAAGTATTATTATAATATATAGAGTTGTGCAAAAGCACATAATGATGAATTAAACGTATTGCATTAATCAAAATCTGCAAGCTAAAACGGCTTTGATCCTGGGCCGAAAAAATTTTATTGCAGCGAGCTGTTGATTAAATGAATATTCGTAGACGCTCAGACTATCCATTGTTTGATGCCGGTGTAAAAAGCATTATAATAATAATAATAATAATAATAATAATAATAATAATAGTAATAATAATAATAATAGCGGTTTCTCCTGTCGCCGATTCTTAACATCGCAGAACATTCACAGCATTTTGCGGTCTCGAACTCGCAACTCACTGCTCCAATTCTGCTGTGCTTAACCGCCCTGCCTCCTCGCCGACTCTGACCAGAAACTGGTGCACAGAGCTGGGATCGAACCCGCGCCTCTCTGCGCCAATCTTGGTACTCTGAACTTTAACCACTGGTTAAATAGTGCTTTTTTATAATACAACTTTTTAAATCTTCACAGATAATGATTTTGATTTATTTTTAAGGATTGGGCATCTTCTGCGATACAAAATAGGCGCAATATATATTTTCAGTTGAAGGTTCATCTCGTATATGAAGTGATTCATGAAGATTCATAAATTGGCTTACTCATGGTCCGAAGGAGAAGATCCAAATGATTCTGATATGAATTTGGGCTATGAAAATACCCCGTTTAGAAACGTGGTGAAAATTTTCTTAACTGCTCTATATCAATCTTTGAATTTTTGACTTTTTTCTAACTATTCAGGAGTAACTTGTCAATCAATCCATCAACAGCTACAGGCATAACTCTAAACAATAGTGCATTTTTTCCATAAATGAGAAAATGCGCTAAAAAGAATGAGAGTTAATGAAGTACAAAAATTTTTTGGTTCTCAAAATTCTATAAAAAATATATTCATAACATTTGCTGATATAGAAGATGGAATGCTTTTCAAATAAAGAAAAAGAACGGCTGCTGCGCTATGGTATGTCAGCGGTATTTCTGTTATAGGATGCGGCCCACGACCACAGCCGGTAATTCAGTGAATAAGTTTAGTGATAACCCTGTATACAGTTTGGATATCGCTTTAGCAATTCAGAACACTATTGAATACTGTTGTTGAACACTCAAAAACTTAGCAGTTCATTAGGTGGCCATTATAGGATACCATGGATGGATATTTACCATACCGTGGATGTGGCAAGTGTCCTACGGCTTTCACCTCAGTGTTAGAGGCCATTCGTAATACGTGAACAACATTCCCTCTACATGTGGAAACAATTTACATAATAAGTTAAGCAGGGCCCTATATTGCATTCATGTCTATTCTTGTGATACTTGTCGAATGACCTTGGTATATTGATAAAAAATATTTTAAAATAAATTGCAACATCTTTTCGAAGGAACATGTTAGCCACGCCACAAAAATCAAGGTTCCAGCAGCGTTTTGGTCAAGCTGTGCATCCATACCCACGCCCATCTTTTGGTCACAGCGACAGGGTTAAATTACAGCAAATTTCCCTCTCCCTCAATGTTCCGAACCTCCCCCTCCCTCCATGCTTCGAGCCTGTACTATCACAAAAAGTTACGAGTTCTTAACTCCATCGTCCAGTCCCTGACGGCTTTGCAAGCTAAACCCAACAGTCACAGACGAGAAATCGACCGCTACGTCTACTTGGACTGCTATGGGTACTTTCACCACTACGTGAAGTTAAGCGAGATTTGATAGTAGGTCACCAGGTTTAGTTCTTAGATTCCTTTTCTTCCCGCGTGGTCCTTTTTTAAGCGCTACATGGATATTTTATACGTATTGTAAACGCGTGTATAACCGCCGTAATAATAATCAATTTTTATCTTTGTATTAACGTAATTAACTATTGCTCCGCCGCTCCCAAGTAACTACTTCTACGCCGCTCCCAGCATTACTTCTACGCCGCTCCCAGCATTACTGCTCCGCCGCTCCCAAGTAACTATAGCAATTACTTCTCCACTGCTCCCAGCAATTACTTCTCCACTGCTCCCAGCAATTACTTTCCCGCATCTCCGAGTCTCTCCTCTACCATCCAACTTATCAATGGCCAAAGATGCCATTGACTTTGCCTAAGGAAGTATGAGGTTTCTTGTCTATTCCTAACTTCATTAAGTTTACTTCTCTACCATCATTTAATACAAATTATTACATTTTCTTCTTGCAACAGCTCAATCCTTTTATTTTAAAGGCGGAATTTGCTAATGGGCGAATGTTTGATTTGTTCCGATTATTATTTTTTAAATTAGTCATTATTCCCACACCCATAAGCCTTATTTTTGACGGAAATAATATTAAGATAAGTTGAGTGCATTATCAACTTGCCATAACTGTTCATCATGGCTCCTGTAATGGAAGTGGCCTCGCTTAAGGAGATCATCGTGTTTTATTGCGCCGATTGGTTACTGGCGTGCATCAAGCGACACCCAAGCTTCCTCGTCCGACATATTCAACGGGAATACATCAGGCGTCGCCTGAGTCCTTTCAGTCGACAGGAGCTGCTGTCTTATGTGCTTTCTCTGCCAATGGAATCCGTATTACCGAAGGACCGCATCAAAATTATCGAAATGCTCGGCGGTGAGAAGATCACGAGCTTCGATGCTACGCCGTTGGGTCGTCAGAATGCGGTAGATGTTAAATACTTGTACCGTGCTTTAGCGGCCTTCCCTTCTTTAAACGTCACGCGGCTTGGAATAATTTGCCAACAAATAATTTTATTATACAATTGTTATACTGAGTTCAACGTGAACACCGACTTCTATCCTACTTTGAGGAAAATGTCCCATTTGACATGTGTAACTTTGATAGCTTTGGGTGACGAAAAAGTTTTATCTATTCTTGGATCTAATTGCGAAAATTTACAGTATTTGGACATTTCGTTCTCAGAGAAGGTTAATGACGCATCCTTGGCATGCCTTTATTTAAGCCATCCTAGACGATTACCTGAGCTTTGGGATGGACAACGAAGTTATATTGTCACCAGGTTTTCTAAATGTTGCAAGAAAATAAAATTCCTTAACCTAGTGGGCACTTCGGTAACCGCTCAAACCATTAACTTGTTGACTCAGCTGATGCCAAATCTGGAATCTTTTGGTGGGTACCTCAGGATGAGCGAATTATTTACAGCGCTAGCCATGCCATATGTGGGATACCCTCTGGTGAGACGGGACGGCAATCCTGAGTTCTGCTTGTTGCTTGAAGTATATGATCTCCAGAGAGGCGGGTGGCACAAATTGTCAGTGAAAAATCAGAAAATTATCGCCTCTGAACGATTGCGAAAAGTCGCGTCTGCTGGAAGGAACAAAGAACCCTCTGGGATTTTTGTGCCTCCGTCATTGCCTTTGAAACTCGCCGAACTAACGAATTTCTCACGTGAAGTAGATCCGAAAGTTATTTCGGTCTTGCATGATCTATGCCCCCACGTTTATGAACTACACATACTGTCCAGCTCACTTCCTAATTTGGCACAATTTCATGATGTGAAGGTTCTAGAAGTCAGGTGTCAATTTGTGCAAGGATGGAACGTAAATTTAATCAATTACTTGATGCAACGCGGCTCGTCTCTGAAAACCTTGGTAACATCACAAACAACTGAGGAATTTATTCCACTGTCCCGACTCCGATCGGCTTGTCCCAACCTTGTTGATCTCAATTTGCCGATAGATACGGAAGACGATATAAGATGCACTCTACCTCAGCTAAAGTGCGCTAAGATTGCGGTTAGGTCTTGGAGCGTTTTCAAATACTTTTGTCGGGACCATACGCAACTCAAGGAACTCAATGCCATGTTGCGTTATGGTGGAGAAAGTGATATCCCTGGGCAGACAACAATGACCGACAGTTTCTTCAGATCAATTTTCCTCTCGTACTCCTTCGTTTATCTTGAAAAATTGATCATCTTTGGTTGTGATTTAGGCGCAAGTACTTTGGAACTTTGTCTAGGTCCGTGTTTTCCGAGACTGCGCGTGCTGGGTTACGTGGATCGATGGAAAAACCTTACAGAGTCCCAACTAGCGCATTACCGCCGTGAGATCCGCGTAAGGAACTTGAATCTAAAATTGATCAACTTTAAGTACGATAATGTTATGAATGGTTCGATCGCAGAGGATCTAAAACTCCAATTATGGTAACTAAATCTTAAGACGAATTGAACGTTTCACGAATTATTTTATCGCGTCGATGTATTTCGTCCCTTACAAATATGATGCATTTAATTAGTTTTTTTAAATTAAGCATCTCCTTACTTTTCTTTCATTAGATCAATTATTGCCACCAACCTAATGCTCGATGGATATTAAGCACATGTTTAAATATTTTCACCAACGCGTTTACCCACATATGTATCAATTCTGTGGTTGATCTTGGTTGTCTATAAGAATTTTGTGGATAAAACACAATGTTGTATTAATTCTGAATGCGTCACTATCTGGCAACGCGCGTTTACACTCTTAGACGAAAATGGATTAATTGAAATTTTTAACCCTCTCTCTGCGATCGATGTCTTTGCTCTAAATGTTTCCTGTCAGGTTTTTAATATATGACCGACGAATAGTCGAATTATTTTAGTATTATTATTTAATAGCAGGTTTGAGAGGTTTCATTGCTTAAAGTCGAAAATGTGCGAATTACTCTATTCCTTATTCAGTCGAATTTTGCATTAGAATTGCATGAATATTAATAAATACTAATGAAAATTTCTTTATTTTAACGATCTTGTCTCTGGAAGACTGTGCATTTAATAAAATTTTTAGTACCTCGGAAGAGTTTATTGACACGTCCACGATAATTTAGAAGATTTTATTTCATAGATTAATAACAATAAAATGAAATAATGCATTGATTTTTTTACCTTGATGAGAACAGCGCGTTACTTTCTAGTGTATGATTCCTCCTACACTTGGAGAAATGAGCGACATTGTCTAAATTACGGTGCAAGCTTTGCTCTTGTACGGGTCATCCTGATCCGGTTTGGTCTGGCAATGGGAGGCATCAGCGGCATATACGTCCGCTCCCAGCTTTAGTTTTGGGTGTAAGACTGTGTCAATATTTGGAGAGTATGACCATTTATTTTTTGAGTATTGGATTGATGAAGCTTGAGGCCGCTTGATGACAAATCGGAAAGTTATTCTACGTAGTTACCTCTAAAACTGTTGCCTAAACTGTACTTATTGAAATTATAAAGCTGAAAATATAGCCACAATATGAGATAATAGTTCTTTTGAAAATAGAGGTTTTCATTGAATACACCCTTAGAATTAGATCACAAAATGAATTATTCTTGTCATTTTGACTTCAGTTTGTTGATGAAAATTATGATCCTCCGCAAAAAAAGTTGGTTGCAACACGCCTCTGTGCGAAATATTTAAACGTCTCTTTTATTGCCTTCGTGTCATAAAAACAGACGCAGCGCCTAATTTCTGCTTGTTGCCCCGGAATTTTACAACCTATGTTTAAATTGGAAATTTCCGTACCACTTAATCTTTCAAGTTGCGACTTCTTCCATCTAAGTTTTAATCGAGGTGGAGATAATTTTGCTTTCTCAGTGCTGTGGACATAAGCTTTTTCTGTCCATGAATTGTCTACAGCAGGAATTAATAAATAAACCGAGAACATCGAACGAAATGCTTGTAAAATCTTATTTGAATCTCAATTTCACTGAGATTTTCATTTAAATCTGACAATCTTATTATAGGTTATGCCAGACTTATTTGAACCTAATTTTCATGATAGTTTTAACAAATGAAATTTATGAAGAATAAGATAAAACATTTTAATTCGCAATGCGTATTTTTGCCCCCTTTCCGTTCAAGAGTAACTTTACCAACACTATACATGGTTCGGCAAGGGCATAGTTCTTCACGGGCATGGTTCGGCAAGAGCATGGTTCGGCAAGGGCATGTTTCTTCACGGGCATGGTTCGACAAGGGCATGGTTAGGCAAGGGCATGGATCTTCAAGGGCATGGTTCGGCAAGGGCATGGTTCTTCACGGGCATGGTTCGGCAAGGGCATGGTTCGGCAAGGGCATGGTTCGGCAAGGGCATGGTTTGGCAAGGGCATGGTTCGGCAAGGGCATGGTTTAGCAAGAGCATGGATCTTCAAGGGCATGGTTCGGCAAGGGCAGGAAACGGCAAGGGCATGGTTCGGTAAAGGCATGGTTGGGCAAGGGCCGTTTTTGAGCAAGGGCAGGGTTCGGCAAGGGCACGGTTCGTCAAGGAGATTGCTCGTTTTAAGAATTGTATTTTCTATGCGATACGGATAGTGGAAGATTTGTTTTGAAAGTTTAAAATGTGGCGTGAAAATGCTAAATAAATTAGCCTATTCAACATACCAGTTCGATCATTTCTGGAGTTCCAAGTATGGAATTCTTAGTCCTGTAGCTGCCGAAAATTTGAATGCGTTAGAGATATGTAAATGAGAACTTCTTCAGTTATCCCACATAAAGCCTCAACGATGCAATGAAACATCAGACGAAAATCGAATGGAATAATTGATTTTCTTTCATTTTTGCAAAGATTTTTCCATTGCTGAGCTTATGCGTGTCAACCTTCTCACCATTAATAGAATATTTGTGTTAAATTATTCAATAATTGAATTTCATATGCGGTCAATAAATTTTGCAACCGCTCCAATCTGGTATTAGGAGCAAGAAAACTTCGAGCCATTTTAGAGAAATGAAAACGCTATTATAGTTTCAGCTGAGACTCACGGTGCACTAAAGCTCTAAAGGACTGATGTATGGAAAATACAGATGTTTTTGCTTGTATCCCACATAGTAGTACTGCATCTCTCAACTTAGACGACCAAAGATATCGAATTTTAATGCTTAAATTATTTCATTGTCAGATTAGCAAGCACCAGCGAGCGCTGTACTTAGAAAGGATAGGAGTTAATATGTTAAAAACACATGTTCAGTATTATCAGAGATAATTTGGAAAATATATGCCTATAATATATGGAAAATATACGCCACTTTTTGACAAAAAAACTAGAATCTTTTTCCTGTGAAGAAAGAGAACTCGTCAGTGGACGAGTGGTTTATGATGCTTCTCACTTTCTGTGTCCCAGGACGCATACAGCAAGTGGCATCAGCGCGCCATTGTTGTATCAATTTCTTATCTAACCGATGCGTACGTTGCAGATCTGTGAGAAAGGGCCAGAGGGAAATGTGGTTTTCTTGATTTCGTGGGAATGATTTTATTCAAACCCTTATAGAATATATTTAATTTTTTCTAAATTAATAAACCACTAAGTTGTTTGATGAGTGGACAATGGGAAAATGCAGGATGATGTAGGTTAAATTTTCCTAATTTGGCCGTGGACGCAGTCGACTTACCATATTCGGAATACCGTTGCTTCTCCCATCATCATTTTTGGGATTACAGAAACTGTCCTTTATTTGTTTGATATATTCAGCTCCTACTTTACAGTAGTTTGCTCTTGGAAAGGTTTGGGTGTCAACCAATGCCTTTCTTCTCTGATAGGCGACGAAAGCCTAACTTGCGACATTTTGGACTTGTCTGTCGTTCAGCCAAACCCTGACTCCTGATTGGTTATCATGAACGTGGTATGGTATCCATTGATCCCATCCTCGCTGGATCGTTTCTTGGTGCATCAATAGTCGGGCCTTGTGAATCGATCGATGAAGCAATGCTCATACTAACTGTTAAATTATTGTTATGAAACCTTTTGAACCAAACCATATAGTCCTTTTCTAGCACTATTTACCCCTTACTTTCACCACTGCCTTGCAGCAGACGGTTCGTAGAGCTACCGCCAGAGCCGCTATTCAACAGACCCTGAACTTAACCCTCTGCATGTAGATAAGAACCGTGTAAGACTGGTTATAAAAACCGCAATTTATAGTATTCTATTCCCACCTAATAAATACAAAGCTGTTGTGATCTCAGTAGGTACTCTTGGTCTGTGTGGTTTGTAAAATAGCAGTTTCTTTTAAAGTCCAGCGACCTGGCGTTAAGCAGCACTCGTTAATCTGCTACTCCTGGCATGTGTTTGTAATAACGCGTACTCGTATTACGCTTGTCTTAATCCCTTGAAATAATGAAGTCAAAAAATGAAAATATATCTCCGATTTGTTCGGTCAGTCCTACGTGTCAACCGAATATTGCTGCTCTAATTTCATTGTTTCACTGGAGTTCCGATTATAATTTGTGTATTGATAAGGTGTGTAGCTTGTACTGTGAATATTCATCTAACTCTCCACCTTCTTCAGATCTTAACCATAACAATCATAATTTCGTTTCGTTGAGGAAGCGTCGGAAACCAGATAGTGGAATAGCTTATCCATGGCTCCTGCGAAGGAAGTGCTTTCATTACAATTTATTGCTGCTAATTGTTCCATAACGTGGCTCCAAAAGTGCATTGCGCATCGCTCATGCGTTGTTGACAAACATATTCTACGGGAATTTTTAAGGTGTCGAATTGGTGGTTCTACTCAACAAGAGCTGTTATCGAATGCTCTTTCTCGTATTTTGCGTGGAGCCAAATTGTGTACCCAAGCCCAAATACTGGAACTGCTTGGCGATGAAAAGACAACGCGTCTCGATATAACTCCTTCGCGGCTTGACAGTCCCGCTGAAGTGTTACACATATACCTGGCCATTGGATTCGGCCGTATGCGGAACGTCAGGAAGCTTTCAATAAATTACGCCAAGACTGCTCTTTATACTTCATTCAAACCCGAAATGAACACTTATTTCTACCTCACCCTGGATAGAATGAGTCACTTGACACATGTGGCTGTGCCTTATTTGGGTGAAGCTGGACTATTGTCAATTATTGGTAGGACGTGCGAAAATATACAGTACCTGGATATATCGGAGTCGGTGAAAGTTGATGACGCATGTTTGGCTTCCCTCTTTTTAAGCCATCCTAGATCAATGCGAGAACTATGGGACGGAAAAATACCTTATATAATCACTAAATTCTCTCAATGCTGTAATAGTCTGAAATATCTTGGCCTGAGAAACACCAAAGTGACCGTCAGAACAGTGAATATTTTGACTCAGGTGATGCCAAACCTGGAGTCTTTAGGTGGATGCCTGAAATCGGTTTCCACATTTCATGCACTGGCGCTGTTTGTAAGAGATTTCTTTGCGCCATTGGAGGAAAACGATCCACGGATCAGTTTGTTACATGATGTTTATGATCTCCAGAGAGAGGGATTTCACAAACTGTCGTTGAAATACCGTAAAATTATTCGCTCTGGTCGAGGCCAAGAAGCTTCTGCTGGACTCGAGGAGCCTTCTGGGATTTTAGTATCTCCTCAATTTCCGCTGAAACTCGTCGAACTTTCGGATTTTTCGGACGAGGTAGATATACAAGTTGTTCCTGAATTGAAGCATCTATGTCCCCACGTCTCTGAACTGCACGTATCTATTGGCTCCCTTGTCAACTTTGTAAATTTTCATAACGTAAAGGTTCTAGAGGTTAGCTGTAATTGCCGGTGGCAATGGCAGGAAACAATGATGAATTACTTAGAGCGACGTGGCTCGTCTCTGGTAGCATTGGCAGCAACGGAGACACCAGGGTCCTTCATATCACTATCCCGCCTACAAGCGGCCTGTCCCAACGTGGTCAACCTCACCATGTCTATAGATGCCGAAGACAACCAGGCTAATCTACCGCAATTATTGTACGCTAACCTTGTGTTTAGATCGTGGAGGGTGTTTGAGTACTTCTGTCAAGGCCACACCCAAATCAGGGAACTACGTGCCTCGTTGCCTTTTTACCTATCTGGCATCGCGGGACAAACGTCTATGACAGACAGTTTCTTCTCATCAATTTTTCTCTCCTACTCGTTTGCTCATCTTGAAAAATTAATTATCGATACATGTGACTTAGGTGCGAGTGCAATGGAAATTTGTCTGGGACCGTGCCTCCCTCGACTGCGCGTGGTGGGTTACGTAGATCGATGGAGGAGCCTTACTCAGCAAGACTTGATTCATTTCAACTATGAAATCCAAACAAGGAATTTGGATCTCAAGCTAATGCACTCGTACTACGAGGATGGTGTCGACTATCCGATCAGGCAGAATTTACTTCTTCAATTTTATTAGTAACTTTTTCGAGCTGTTTGTACATTTAATGAGTTTTAATTCGATCGTCAATCAAAACGATAGGGTGCCGTTCACGCTCTTCCCTTCTTGAAATGTCCATCTTGCTCATGGTTTAAAATAGTGTCCCTCTCTTAGACAACTGATAAGAATACGAAACCTCCCACGATGCCGGCCACTATTAAAGTTTCCCTTTATTATTTTGTTCCCCTGTTAATCATGTTCATGATTCTGACAGGGCTTTCAATTAAATTGTTTTCACCGTCCGCGTAATTAGATTTTTCATTGACTAACGTGCTCAGCCGCTCAGTTTATCCTTCAAAGACGAGTGACCTCTCACGAAATTTTTAGCATTACTAAAAATTTAATTTTCAAATAATTTTATGCGCAGTTGAAATCAAGCTTTATTCTTTTTTAGTACAAATTATGATATGTGGGAACGCTATCGCAATTAGCTACAGTGGGTAAACACCCGCTCTTATATAGCCGAAGGAGTGGCATGGGCTGGTTTCTCCACCATTTTTTGTAATGTTTAGCGCATTCAACGCCTGAACGAACAATGAAGTGTCTATGAATAAAGTGAATATGTCTTACAAATCATGGAACTTTTCGGTACGGTTCTCTACCGTTGATTTTTATATATTGATAGTAGTTGGAATGCATTTATAAATTAAAAATACCCGATCGCTTATCAGTGGGAATCTGTTTACTTGACTTTGAGGAGTTCGTACTGATTGCAATACGTTAAAGTGGTTATACTATCCCGACAGGTGACGATGTAGTTCGAATTTTTGGAAGTTCTTTTCACTTTGAAAAAAAACGTGGTTTCAGAGTCTCCATGAATATTTCCAACTAACTAAATGATCAGCAAAGATTAAATAAGATAAATCATGTTAGCATTACTTTTATCAGATTTCAGTTGATTCCATGCCTATATAGAAGAAATAGCTAGCGTTGTGTAGCTGTCCCATTTACGTTAAGCTTTTGGAGTTTATTTCTTTTTTTGACTCCTAGTTCCTTGATTAGTTTACATTTTAATAAATTTATGGAGTATTTGTACTTTCATTCACCAGCTGCTTTCCTTTTACTGGCAAGTGTAAATTTTCCTGATATCAGTGCCTTCATTTGTACTGCTCTGTACTGGGAAGTGTGTCGCCATTTGGACAATATGACCCGCTCGTTTTTCTGATTGTACCTTGACGTGAACACCATATAACTTAAGATACTTAGCGCTTCATCCTTGGGTGTTTGAGCTCTGGACTCCAAGACAGTGTAATGGACGACTTATTTGATTTATTTTCAATTTTTTCACTGCCCGTAGGCCGTCGCGCTAGAGGGATGCTGAGGTTGGTCTAATGACTGATGTAGAATGAAAAAATATAACTCGGTACTCACTGCAGTGAGTGACGGAGCGCGCATTTTCTCGTCGACGAAAACTTGAGGTCACGGACAGACGGACGGACAGACGGACAAACAGACAGACAGACGGACGGACGGACATGGCGAGCACAATAGTGCATTTTTTCAATAAATGAGAAAATGCGCTAAAAATATGACTAAATTTCTAACTAAACTGAATAATTTGCTTTTTATGAGAATGATGTGGGAAAAAATTCGGAAAATGAGGTTCGCTCTACTCTGCTGAGTAATTGGTTGTATGAAGGACGTTTTTTTTCTTTTTGCTAAATTTTCTCTAAGAGATTGGCTTGGAATCCAAGAAGTAATCAGAGCCTTCTAAGTGTTTCTCGATGAACCTCGTTACTTTGTTTTCCCAACTCAGCCAGAAAATACAATTGTCCCCGCGCCCTGTAGGTCGACCACGTTAATCGGCAAGACGTTAATTTCTCTTCAATTCCTAAAATTTAAACGATCCCTTCAACCTTAGTGAGTAAAAAATTATAATTATTAAGCTGTTCGCTCTGATTGACCAGCTCCAGCTATTATTAGTGCGAAGTGCTTGATGGATGAGTTTTAGTTCCGTTCGAAGGTTTTTCGAAACTTGTAACAAAAACGAAGTTATTTTCGCTTCTCATATTAATATATTGGAAGAGCTTCCTGCACTTTCTGTTGCAGACTGACGCGTTGAAGAGAATCGGAAAATGTGTTCAATATGGAAAAGGCTTGTTACGTATTTATTTCAAAATAATTTTAATCCTTTATGAACATGCGTTATTGGATGGCTATATTGTAGTGGAAACCACGATGATTTCCCCATGAAAGACTAAATTGACAATCAATGGTGAAGTTTTTTATAAACTAAGTTGATTCCGAAATAGTGGCTAATTTATGTGAGCGATTATAATGAACTTGAATTCATAGACCGTGGCTATGGAGGCAATGTGTGGCTACAAAGAGGAAGTGTGTCTATGTAGGCGAAGTGTGGCAATGAAGGTAAAGTGTGTCTAAAATATATGTATGTAGGCGAAGTGTAGCTATGAAGGTTATGTGTGGCTATGTAGTGTTACATCAAGGATAGTGTTACATCACTGATGGTGTCACATCAAGGATGGTGTTTCAAAACCTAACTAACAACTCGAAGGTCTTGTCAATCGTTCCATTTATTAATTCAATATTTAAACTTCTACGTAACAGTAGCTTGATCGTTGCTGGAATTGGAATTGTAGGGATAGTGTTACATCAAGGATAGTGTTACATCAAGGATAGTGTTACATCAAGGATAGTGTTACATCAAGGATAGTGTTACATCAAGGATAGTGTTACATCACTGATGGTGTCACATCAAGGATGGTGTTTCAAAACCTAACTAACAACTCGAAGGTCTTGTCAATCGTTCGGCCATGCCTGGTTCCTGATGGTTCATAAACTCGTAAAACTTCTTGCATTAACCTCCCACTAGCACGGCCTGGGTCAACGCGAATACAGGCTCCCGTGTAATGTTACGTAGAATTTTTCATGTTCCTCATCCCTGAAAGTTTCTCATCATTAATCACCCTCCTTTCGTCATTCGCAGCTAACCTTGCCTCTTGCAGAGAGCCTCCTTCCTTATTCTTTCAACAATAGCTGGTCCGGGGAAGCTGGCTCTCTCTAACGTTCTTGTTGCGCGAATCGACAAACAATCCTCGTCCTAGCTACTACTGTTTGCGAAATTGAGCAAATAAACCTTTTATTGCATTCTTGCATTAGTGTCGATTTTCGTTACCGATTCCTTGGAAGTGGGAGCCGCTGTTCGTTATGCTTCAGTCTACACCGTCAAGTCAATGAAAGTATGAAACACGAGTAGCAAATCTGCAGACCTTGCACTCTAACCTTCGCTTGTCAGTAACTACTGTAACTGCGATTTTCAGGATTCGATTCTCACATAATAAATACAAAGCTGTTAAGATCTCGCTAAGAACTCGTGGTTCTGAGTTTTTCATGAAATATAGTTCCTACTCAAGGTTTTAGCCTTCTAGGTTTGACAACAGAGTGCTGCGGTGACCAGAGTGGCTCGATCTGGTCACAGTGGCTCTGGATGGTCTGGTCATAATGGCTCCGTTGGTCTGGACCCATCTTCGCAATATGTTTGCCTTCATCGCTTCAAATGCCGAAGCTAAAAAATTAATGTGTCACCTATTTTTTCGATCTGTCCTACGTACGTCTCGACCGAATATTGCCGTTCTAATATAATATCATTGTTTTACAGGAATTCTCATCTTCATTTTTTTACTGATCAGGTTTCAAAGTTATACTGGTAAACATTCACAAAGCTTCCTACCTTATTCAGATTTTAACTATAACGTTGTCTCAACCAATATAGTTTCGTTTCGTCGTGAAGGAGCAGGAAGCATTGAAGTGGAATAGCTTTTCCATGGCTCCTTCGAAAGTGCTTTCCTTAAAAGTTATCGCTGCTGACTGTTCAATAACGTGGCTATTGAATTTGGCCAGTTGCATTGAGCATGGCTCTGGCGTTGTTGAAAGACATATTCAACGGGAATTTTTAAGGCGTCGCATCGGTGTTGTTACTAGACAGCATCTGTTGTCGAATGCACTTTCTCATATCTTGCGTGGCGTCGAATTGCGCCAACAAGCCCAAATACTGGAACTGCTTGGCGATGACAGGACAATGTGTCTCGATATAATTCCATCGCGGCTTGACAGTCCCGCTGAAGTAGTCTACATATATCGGGCCATTGGGTTTGGTCGTATTCTGAACGCCACGAGGCTTGTAATAAATTTCGCCAGTTTTGACGGTTCTTCCACTTTCAATCCCGATGTGAACACTTCTTTTTATCTCACCCTTGATAAAATGAGTTACTTGACGCATGTGGCTCTGCCCTATTTGGGTGACGCTAGATTATTGTTAACTATTGGTCGGACATGTGAAAATTTACAGTACTTGGACATTTCGGAGTCTGTGAAAGTTGATGACGCATGTTTAGCTCCTCTCTATTTGAGCCACCCAGGATCAATGACAAAACTATGGACAGGACATGTACGGTATGTAAAAACTAAATTCTCCAAATGCTGCTACAGTCTGAAGTTTCTTGGCCTGAAAAACACCCAAGTGACCGACAAAACGGTGGATATTTTGACTCAGCTGATGCCAAACCTGGAGTCTTTAGGCGGATGCCTGAAATCGGTGTCCACATTTCATGCAATAGTCAAGTCGTCTGATAGATATTCTTTGGCGCCAAGGCAAAGCAATTTCACATTTTGCACTTTACTTGCTGTGTATGATCTCCAGAGTGACGGATGGCACAAACTAACATTGAAATATCATACAATTCGATATCGAAGAGAAGCGTCTGGTGGATGCGAGGAACCTGCTGGGGTTTATGTTTGTCCTCCATTTCCGTTGAAATTAGCCGAACTCTCGGATTTCTCGGACGAGGTAGATTTAGACACTGTTTCTGCATTGAATGAACTATGCCCTCACGTCTCCGAACTACACACATCAATTACCTCTCTTCCCATCTTAGCTGAACATTTTCATGACTTGAAGGTTTTAGAGGTTATATATAGATGCAAGGTGAACGACTGGCTATGGAACCAAACTTTAATGAATTACTTGGAGCGACGTGGCTCATCTCTGATAGCATTGGCAGTAACACAGACACGATTTCACTACCTATCACTATCCCGCCTGCAAGCGGCTTGTCCCAACTTAGTCAACCTCACGGCGTCGATAAATGTAGATGAAGACCTGACTAATCTACCACAATTATTGTACGCTAACCTTGTGTTTAGATCGTGGGGAGTGTTTAAGAACTTCTGTCAAGGCCACACCCAACTCAGGGAACTCCGTGCCTCGTTGCCTCCTTCCCTAGCTGGCCCTTTTTACATATCAACACCAATGACAGACAGTTTCTTCGAATCAATTTTTCTCTCCTACTCGTTTGCTCATCTCGAAAAATTGATTATCGATACATGTGACTTAGGTGCGGGTGCAATGGAAATTTGTCTGGGACCGTGCCTCCCTCGACTGCGCGTGGTGGGTTACGTAGACCGATGGTGGAAGCTTTTGCCAGACGAAGTGGTTCATTTCAACAATGAAATCAAGGCTAGGAAATTGGATCTTACGCTAATCCACTCGGATGACGAAGATGGTGTCAACTTTCCGATCAGAAAAAATTTACTTATTCGTTGTTATTAATAACTATTTCGAGGCGACTTGTACATATAGTGAACTTTTGTTCGTTCAACAATCAATGGATTTAGATTCCTTTGACGCTCCTTCCAATTCTAATGTCTTAATTGAAATATCCGTCTCTCTCTTAGTTTGAAATTGGGTCCCATGCACTCCTATACCTCAGATAGGAATACGAAATCTCCAAAGGTGCTGGCAATTATTATAATTCATTTATAATTGTGTTCCCCTGGTCATGTTTTGGCATTCATGATTCTGGTAGTGCCTTCACGTATTATTGTTCTCAACGTCCGCGTAATTGAATTTTTCTTTGGGTATCGTGCTTAGTCGTGCTGTTTTTTTTTCGGAGACTAGTGAATTCTTACGATATTTTTTGCATCATAAAACAGTAGAATTTCACGAAATTTTATGCGCAGTTATTACTAAATACGGAACGTTCTTTTATGTTTTAAGCGTAAATCATGACCTTTTTTAATTGGGAATAATGTAGAATCTTTTGTCAGTTTGACTATGTTAACTTATCGTTAGCGAGTTCATACAGATTGCAATGTTGCCCAATTCTAACCTATGCCAATTGAGAATTTTTTTGACATTCTTTATCCCTCTCAAGAATATTTCGTCTGAGAGTTTGCCAAAAAAATTTGAATTAACTAAATGTTCATCAAAGGTAAAAAAATTATGCTTGCATTATTCTTACCTGATCTCTGTTTCTTAAACACCGGCACTTGGGCGTCGTGATGTAGCTTTCTCATTTACGTTGAAAGTTTCTTTTGAGTATATTTCCTTATTCTGACGCCTCGTTCCTGGACCAGGTTTTTTATTACAATAAAAATAATCACGTTTTTGTTCTTTTATTTACCAACGATTTTCATCTTGATGAATGGCAGGAATAATTTTCTTGATATTCGCGTCTTGATTTGTACTACGCTCAGAGAAATAAATGTGTAGGGTGTTTCGCTATTTGGACAATATGACCAGCTCGTTTTTCCGAGTGTACCTTGAGGAACGCCTTGAAACTTGTTACACTTAGCTCTCCATCTTTGGGTATTTGAGCTTCAAGCACCTGACGGCTGATATGTATATTTATTTGTTTTATTAATATTATTTTTGTAGGGATAATGTATGATAAAGTAAATGAAATAATAATTTAGGAAAATTAGGTTCCCGCCTCTTCGGTGAATGATTTATCTTGATTTTATGAAACAATTTCTTTTTATTTCTCTAATAATTTGGATTGGAATTGAAAATATAATCAGGGCCTTCTAGGTGTTTCTCGATGAAACTCATTACTGCCAATTCACAAAGCGGCCATAAAAAATCATCATCCTATATAAGTGTGAGGTATTAGAACATATCACGTGAATTCCACCCGCGCTAACTATAGGAATCCCCACCCTCCGGAGGTCGACCACGTTAATCAGCAAGTCGTTGATTTCTCTCTACTCTAGTTTCTAAAATTTAGACGATTCTACTATTCTTTATGCGAGAAAAAAAAATGACAAGGAATTAAGATGCTAGATTTCGTTAACCAACTTTCATTAAAGCTTGGCACTATATCATATCGACGAGTGTTCGTTATAAATTTTTCGAAACTCTACCAGTTTTTGTTGCTCTAGATAATAATGGTAAGAGCTTATTGACCGCTGCTGTTAACATAGTTTTAAAAAATATAACTCAGTACTCACGGCAGTGAGTGACGGAGAGCGCATTTTCTCGTCGACGAAAACTTGAGGTCACGGACAGACAGACGGACAGACAGACAGACGGACGGACTTTGCGAGCACAATAGTGCATTTTTTTCCATAAATGAGAAAATGCGCTTAAAATGGGAGAATATATTAACTGATTGAAAGGCTTGTTCCATATTTATTTTAAATAACCTTTAATCCTATCTAAACATACGTTATCCTCGCGCTGGGACTGCACGGCGTACGAGGCGCGTCCTCCGGGTGGCGGATGGAGGGAACACCGTAAGGTGACGTGGACCAACGCAGTCTAAGGGAAGGAAACCCTGACAGAAAACCACTGGCCCTCCAAGCCTGGGGATTGGGCAGAAGGCTAACAACCTACTCCCAGAAAACAATTTTGTTACAGAAACAATGGACGGCATATTGCAAGTTAACCAAGGCGAAACAGAGGTCGCCAATATTGGCCCTATGACGGCGATGGGTCAAAGCCTTAGGGAAGCCCAACGCCCGACAAGATCTCTAGTGACACCCAAAAACATTTTCACCATCGGTCACTGGAATGTGAGAACCATGTACAGGGGAGGAGCTGCAGCACAGATCGCGAGCAAGATGAAAAGATACCATCTGGATGTGCTCGGGATCAGCGAGTGCAGGTGGGCAGGAGCAGGCAGGACGAGGTTGGCTACAGGACAGACGTTGATATACAGCGAAGATGATGAACTACACGAGGGAGGCGTTGCTATATTGATAAGTCAACAGGCAGAGAAGTCACTCATGGAATGGACACCTGTCAACAAGAGGATAATAACAGCAAGATTCTACTCCAGATACAGAAGAGTAACTATAATTCAAGTGTATGCCCCTCACAACGAGAGGGAGGAAGAGGAGAAAGAACAGTTCTACCAAGAATTACAAGAAACACTAGATGGATGCAGCAGGAATGACATCACGATCATCATGGGAGACCTTAATGCTAAAGTAGGAAGTGACAACAGTGGGTACGAGAGGACTATGGGTGTGCATGGGCTGGGGATGCAGAATGATAATGGAGAAAGATTATGCGAGTTTTGCCAGCTGAATGGACTTGTGATAACTGGTACATTATTCCCACACAAGAACGTCCACAAAGCAACATGGGTATCTGCAGATGGAAGAGGAAAGAATCAAATCGACCACCTCCTGATCAACGGTAGGTGGAGATCATCTGTCCTGGACACGCGGGCACAGAGAGGAGCTGATATCAATAGCGATCACTACTTGGTGAGGACACGCATCACGCTAAGCCGCAGTACCCACAGAAACAACAACCAGGTAAAGCCGAGGTTAGATGTGGATCGACTGAGAAATGACGAGATGAAAAAGAAGTACTGCATGGCAGTCATAAACAAGCTGGACACCACAAGGAACGAGAGTGATAACATAGAGGAGATATGGGAGCAGCAGAAAAATGCCTATACAAAAGCGGCAGAAGAGGTGCTTGGGTACAAGAAAAGGGTGAACAAACCATGGATCAGCAACGATACTTGGAGGCTGATCGACGAGAGAAGAACTGCCAAGATACGGGTTGAAAGCACCCGATCAGAAAGAATTAAAAACAGAATGAGAGAAGAGTACAGAGAAAAGGATAGGGAAGTGAAGAGGAGCGTAAGAGAAGACAAAAGAATGTGGATGTCGGAAAAAGCGGCGAAAGCACAGAACGCAGCAGAAAACGGAAGACAAAAAGAATTGTACAGTATAGTGAAGCGGCTGACAGGACAGAGTACCAGCACCAGGCAAACTGCAGCAGTGAAGAGTGTAGGAAGAGAGGACGCCCAAAAACAACTTGGAGGCGAATGGTGGAAGAGGAGAGAAACCGAGCAGGCTGGAACTCGTGGAACATAGCACGGCAGGCAGCTGCAAACCGGACCCAGTGGAGGAGTGACGTCCAAGCCTTGTGCGCCTTATGGCGCGGAGAGAACTGAACTGAACTGAAACATACGTTGTAGGATGACTGAATTATAAAAGAAAGCACAATGATTTCAATTCCGAAGGACTAATAAAGTTGACAATCAACGGTGAAGAATATGCTATTCAAATTCCGAAGGTAAATACATTTGGGCGTTTATAATGAACTGAGTCTCCCATACCAAATTACTTCATGGTTGAACTAGTTTGCGGATATGTAGTCTGTTGTTCGCCTTTGAGATCACTGATCTCACTGACGTCACTGGCATTAACCAATCACTGAAATGCGATCAAACCATTCAACCAATCCGTCATGAAAATTACGGGATTAATTAAGTTTATCGATCTCAGTGACGTAACAGAAAGCATAACTGAAAGGCGGAAATTCTCGTGGAGCAACTTTATATTGTTCAACCATGAAATTACTTTATCTTACCAAGTAAAAATGGTTTCCATTGTTTAAATTTCATTAATCGTTTCTTCCGAAGATTGCATGCTTTTTCTTGATGGTTTATGGGCCGTTTCTCTCAACTATTTAAGTACCGTCACGATAAATTGTTAGTAAAGCACAAAGCTACTATTTAACCTTCAGTATCGGAATTTGTGTAGCTTAAAGCGGAACAATATAGAAATAATAATTACTTGTTTAATATGTTTATAACATGCATTTGAAACAACTGCAAAATCTCATGATGACGAACAATTGTTGCATCAGTGCCGTGAATGCGTAAGAGATTTATGAACCAAAATTTCGGCCATGGATGCAAAGTTAGGTTATAAAGGCGAAGTGTGGCTATAAATAAGGCGGAGCTTGGATATAAAGACCCTCACCCACAAAACTGATCTTATTGCAAAACGCTGAAGTGATCTATTGAATCAAGTCGAGAATTCGGTGATTTTGGATTCAACTGACCCATCAGAAGCTCATTTTTGCGGATGTAGTTTGTTGTTCGCATGTGACGCCACTGATCTCAGTGACGTCACGGGCATTAATCATTCTCCGATATGCGATCAAACCAGTCAATCAATCCGCTATGGGAATGACGGGATTGTTTAAGTTTATTGATCTCAGTGACATAACAAGAAAGCTGAACATAAAGACGCACATCCTCGTGGGTCAACCTAATATAGATCAACCATGGTTTAACCTCATAGTTGAACTAGTATAAGGTTAACCCATCAGAAGCCAATTTATGCGGATTTAGTTCGTTTCTCGCCTATGACGTCACTGATCTAAGTGACGTCACGGGCATTGATCAATCCCCGAAATGCGATCAAACCAGTCAACCCATGGTTGAACTAGCATAGGGTTAACCCATCAGAAGCTCATTTTTGCGGATGTAGTTCGTTGTTCGCCTGTGACGTCACGGGCGCTGACCAATCACCGAAATGCGATCAAACCAGACAACCAATCCATCATAGGAATGACGAGTTTGTTTACGTTTCTCGATCTACGTGACGTAACAAGAAAGCTTAACTGAAAGACGGAACTTCTTGTGGGTCAAACTAATATAGTTCAGCCATGGTTTAACCTAATCTATGCCTCATGGTTGAATTAGTATAAGGTTGACCCATCAGAAGCTCATTTTTACGGATGTAGTTCGTTGTTCGCCTGTGACGTCACTGATCTCAGTGACGTTACAGGCATTAACCAATCACCGAAATGAGATCAAACCAGTCGACCAATCCGTCATGGGAATGACTGGTTTGTTTACGTTTCTCGTTCTACGTGACGTAACAAGAAAGCTGAACTGAGAGACGGAACTTCTCGTGGGTCAACCTTGTATAGAATGACTGTCCCAAACGGCAATGTAATAATAGACTGGTGCTTAAAGATAAATCAAGATAATGTAATAATCGCAATTTGCAAAATTCGCGGAATTCGCACGCCGCGACATTTCATTGATCAGTCATTCACCACTTCGTCATCAGCAACTTCATTCAGCGTCGTCAACAGTTATTTATTGGAATCGCGAAGGGAAGGAGCCCCGATTCCCGAAGCCTAACTGCCTAAGAACATGTGACGAAAGCGAGAAGTCGGGTACCATAAATGACAGTTTTGACACTAACTAACGTCGCAGCAGCTCTTTTTTTGCCGGCGTTCAATAATAGAAGCTATCTATTATATCTATAAAGTATAAACAAAGATGAAAATAACTTTCCAGCAGGAACAACACACTTTTCGCCTTTACATATTCATTATATTACTACCGGCGTCAAACGGGGTAAGAAGGGACGGGCAGGGTATTAAGGGACAGTCCTCTTGGCTCCAATATTTCGTAGAAATGTTGTATGTGTAGCATAGTGCTACTAAACTAAATAAAATAGTGCAAAACTTAAAATAGTGGCATGAATTTCAACATTTTTCTATCTATGTAGACGTACCTAGGTTACAGGTATAAGGCATTAAAGGCAAGTTAAGAAATCATATACCTACATTTACCACCTCTAAAAAATCACTGAAAAAAGTGTGAAAAGTGAGATTTTGGAGAAGTACCTCACCTCTGCTGTAGCTGTAGCTAAGGTCTGTAGCTCTGTACAGTCTTAGACAGACTGTACTCTCTGACCTCTGTAGGAGTGCAGGGCTGGAAAAGTCCTATTTTGTCTGAAATATCGCGGCTCTAATATCATATAATATCAGTAGGTATGAAATCTCGCGGCTCAAATGTCACAAATTTTTGTTTGATTGAAAAATTGTGGTTTGCACTTCAGAAACGTGTCATTTCATAAAATTTTCAACTTCCGCAATCCGCATTGCTTTACCGTTCCAGCCAAAATATCCTGCAAAAAAAAACATAAACATCGTAATCATCGATGTAATGTAAACAAATCAACAAAACGTTTTGTTGAAGATTGCGCATAGTTGCGGGCATGTCAAAGCGGTCAGACTGCAGACTGCTATTAAAACATGCTCAACTTACAGTAAAGACAATTTTTAATGTTGCCATTTGACTGTTTTAGGGTATAATTAGAGATTTGGGGTAACACGTGCATGGAGAATCATGAGAATGTAAATAAATTCCCGCCTTGTAAATGGCTTTTCATGGCTGAGATATGGAATTCACGGCTTGGTGAAATGGATCACAGCTCAAAGAAATGGAATCACGACTGGCAAATCCATAAAACCACGGCTCAAAAAATTCAGTCGCGGCTTGCCAAGTAGATATATTCCATGCCTGTAGGAGTGTAGGACAGTAGGAGTGTAGCAAAAAAAAAATATTCACCACATTAAAAATTCTACCTACATGAAAGCTGCACACAGGTGTTGGCTTAAAAATGCGATTGACAAAAATTGTGTAGATCATTCCAGAAAAAAATGGCAGCCATTTGACCCATTTCCACACAATGGGGTTATAAGGGAGTAAAGGGACTAGGAAGGTAGTAAAGAGACATCCCCTGGGGTTATAAATATAAGGGAGCCAGGGACACCCCTAAAAATGCATTTACTTTTTACAGTAGATGAGTAGAACCTTGGTTAGCAAGGGCTCCAGTTAACAAGAAGATCAATTGATAACAAAGAATTTTATTACATTTACCTTGCTCAGTAAAAATAATTTAACTTACCAAAAAATTAATGCATCATTGCTCATCAGTCATCACAAAATTGTGCATAGATAGAATGTCAATGTCATAGATAGAAATAAAATTGTTCACTGGGCTCTGGGCAACATAGAATGTAAAGTAATTAACCTAAACTATGACTTTTTCTCAAAAGAGTATGACTATGATGGTTGTCACTAAAATATTACTGTCTGTTTTAGCCAGGGTGCAGTTGTGCAGAGGCCACTATGCAGAGGGTGGATGCAGCGTCGGCAATATATGGATTTTTAAGCCCAAAGCGTCGCTGGCCATTTTAAAGATGCGTCGCCGGGTAATTTGTAATGAAAAGCCATTTACGCTGAGTAATGACGAACTATTTACAAGCCACGAACTTATTACAAGGTTTGGACAAGCTTCGCTGCATCGTAATCCATCCAACGTACCGGAAACCTTTCTTTTTTTCTAAATAGTTGGCTGAAGACTGAGAAATATATTAAATGCAAGAATTTCAATCTAAATGTGTCGGCAAAATCTTCCGAAGGCGAAAATTTTGCCGATAATGCGTCGCTGTAGGTCTTTAAATCTTCATTCACTCTCTGCACAGTGGTGCAGAGGGTGCAACCGTGCAACTGCAAGCAGCGTTGCCAACGCCAACTGTTGCCAAAATATGGTTTTTATAGCCCAAAGTGTCACTGGCCATTTTCAAGATCTGTCACCTGGTAATTTTTAATAAGAAATGATGCAAGCAACTTTGATAGTATAGGTATCCTTTAGACCTTTACTATCCATGCACCGCAACACTTGCACACAACACAACTGATTTCCAGAGAAGCTTCACTGCATCCTGAATCCTGATCCTTCCAGCGTACTGGAAACCTTACTCAGTTACTGTGTGCACTTGGGGTCTTACATATTTCCAGTAATTTTGAAGTTATTTCTCATATGCAATCATTTTTATCCAAATGTGTTGGCAAGATCTTCAGAAGGCATAAATTTTGCTGCCAATACATTGCCAAAGATCTTGCAATATTCACCAACTTTTGGCACCATGGTGTTTTAGGTATGTTTCTACAATCTTTTTTTTTTACAAGTGGTCCTGTATGCTTAGCTGCAGAAGAAATGCTGCATGGCTTAATTGGCTGCTGATATGAACTTATGACGCTTGCAGTGGGCAAGGTCATTGTCAATGCTCAATTGCATGTCCATACTCCATGGAGTAGGTAATATCACATTATTCACATGAATAATATGGTAATGTATGGTATGGATAAGTAATATAACATCAATATAGGAAAAACAAGTAAAAATCACAGAAAATCTTATTTATTCTACATCTACATCATCTAAAAAGGAAGAGGAAGACTTCAGAGTTCTTTTTAGAAATGAATGAGTATACTTTGCATGCTAAAAAACATTTTAAAATCAAGTTTTACTTCAAGTGTCCCTTTTTACCCCATTCCCAGGGTTAGTTCAGTAGGCTTTTATTTTTGCTTCTGGCACCTTTCAAATAGCATATGGAATTTTTTCAGAGATGCCATACAGTAGCCCTCGCAAATATCTTTAAAATGAGCTTAAACTCGTTTATGAAATGTTTCATGGTACAAAGTTATTAAGAGAAAATGCTCTAAACCATCCCTTATTATCCCGTTCGATGGTGTAGTAATCATACCCAAGTTTTGGTTGTAAATATGTTTTATGATATATAGATACAATTACAATGTGTATTAAGAAATCAAAATGTAAAATTTAACAAAGTGTATTATTAAGGAATAAGGAAAGCCTGGCCTTGGAAACAAGTCAACTTGTTGAATGTTGAGTCACTAGTCTAGTGTAGTTGTACTGTGCAGGTGCTGAGGTGCAGACTGCAGTCACTGGCTCACTCTCACTGCAGTCATGCAGTGTGCTGACTGGCGACTTGTGTGTTATTGATGAATGATGATAGAGTCTGCAAGTGATTAGAGATTTAGAGTCTGCCTTGCTTCTATGTGATAATGTGAGTAGTATGTCTATTGTCAATGTCACTAAAAGTAAAGTCTCTTTTAAGTCAGTCTGTCAATAGATCAAACTAACTTAGTTTAGTGGGCTGCAGGAATTCACAGGCTAGCTGTTTGTCTGTTACTCTTAGTCCTGCAGTTCTGTACCTGTAGTCCTGTTAGCTGAGATTTAGCTCCACAGTCCCAGACACTCTCTGTTGCACGTGCACACTGCTTGATTACTGGTTACTCCAATATGTGATGTTTGGCAATTGTGTTGCCAAGATCAGGTTTTTAGGCCCTAGTAAATGTTGTCAGTATATACCTACTCCTGTAGTATAAAGGATTTGTCTCATAAATTACCTTAATATTCAAGATTTCTTTTCAAATATCCAACATGATGATATAAAGTGGTATTTAAGAAGAAATGTGTTAGCAAAATTTTCTGAAGCTATAGAATTTTATGCTGATGTTGCCAAATATCTCCAGATATTTGCTCACTCCCTGCATTGCTGCACCCTAGCATAGAATTTATCTATCTACCTTTCATGCTTTCAAGTTTCAAGCTACAAATAGGGCTTTCCAGCCATTTTTGGAGCTGCAAGATTCCTGCTAGATCATCAGTAGATGAGTTATTTCCTATCTAAATGTTAATGACACTGCATGGTTGGGCCCCAAGTATCCAAATGTATTGAGCGACAATATTTCATTCATAAATAGCAAAATTCTAATCCTGTTGTTGCTCTTGGGCTGTTTTGGCTGAGACTCAGCCTCTATCAAGGTGTAGATGCAATGTAAGATCAAGGTTTAAGATTTAAAATTGATTTTAAACAATTACATTTGAGCTTTGTGAATGTTATTTCATCAAAAAGTCAGGAAATTTTATTCTTTTTCTTTTCTAGTAGCAAGTCTGTAATTTTCCTATGTACTTATTTCTAAAATCTCAAGAGCAACATTTTTTAATGAAATTAGAATTATTCAGCCCATTTGTGCACATTAGTTAACAATTAGAGAAGAGGTATTATTATCATCTATTGGAAGATTGGAAATTTTCAACTTCAAGCTGAAATCAACAATTTGTGGACTGGTGGCAACACTTTTGCCTAAAAAACTTGGCAACACAATTACAAAACTTGGTATAGTTGCCAGACCAGCTGACATGGCTCCAGCTATAAATATTGCAAAATTAAAAATAGTGGCGTAAATTCAACATTTTTACTACCTATCTATGCAATATAAAGCAACTTAAGAAATTCTACATTTACTACCTCTAAAAAAATCCCTGAATAAAAGTGTGGAAGAAATGACATTTTGGAAAAGTACCTCTGCTAAGGTCTGTAGCAGAAAAAACATTCACCATACTAAAAAATTTTACATATATAAAGTTGTACCCTGGTGTTTGCTTAAAAATGTGATTGATGGAATTTGCGTATCTCATTCCGAAAATAAATGCCAGCAGCCATTTCCGCAAGATGGGGTAATAAGGGAAACCCCCCAGGGTAATAAGGTCCCAGGTTACCCCCTTCCCAGGGGTAATAAGGAATGCCATTATTTTGCATCTGGCACCTTGCAAATAGAATATGGGATATTTTTGGAGATGCCACATGATAGCCCTTGCAAAAGCTTTTAAAATGAGCCCAAACTTGTTTATGAAATGTTTCATGGTAAGAAGTTATTAACGAAAAATGCCCAAATCTGTCCCATATTACCCTGTTTGATGGTAGCTAATTTTACAATGAAGTCTCAATCCTACAACCAATACTAAGTGCTGATGCAAATTCAGATGCTAAACTAGATCCCACAGTTCATACCAGGTTCCTGTTGTTGGTTTTTTATTTATCGCTCATTCCAGTGCTACTCATCTCAATAAGTATAAGTCTGTCTGTTATGTATTTGAGTGATGTTGAAGGGACATGAAACATGGTATTGTTATCAAGCTGTGGTCATGTAGAGTGTGGGCAATTAGTTTTTGCAAATTTGAAAAGCTAGAGATGGCTTTTCATTTGAAAAATTCTGTACTACAGACTGTATTTTTGTTTTACAATTAGGCTCATAACTCCTCAATGCTTGCCATAACCTCTCCTTTCTAATGCAATTTTTCAGTGAGGTGATTGAAGGAATCCTCATTAACATGACTTATTGTTTCAGGTGCCTGGTATTGACTTTACTTGCAAAACAGCTGTGTTCTCAACATTAGTTCATTGTTCAAAATGGATCACACTCCAGAATTACCATGTCATCTTAAGAAACCAATCCTAGATAACAAACCTTTACCTCAAGCTCCTTCACAAATGGAAATCAATGAATATTCAAATTCTTCTTCTGAGTCAGGAAATGATTGTGCATATGGCCCTGTTCTACCACCTCATCTAAAATACAAAAATACTTCAATATTGGATGATACAGATAATGAACTGTATGGTCCTGCATTACCACCCCATCTTTCCAAAGTTTCAGAACAAAGTACAAAAAACCTCTCTGGCAAGGTATCTAAAACTTCTAAAGTTGACAACTCATCTGTAACAAACCATGAGGACAATGACTATGTTTTATCTGAAGATGAGTATGGTCCTTCTTTACCTCCTCATTTACAGGACTCTTCTGTCTCTGTCAATCCATTGCCAGGTTCAGATAATAAGAATTCAAATAATGGTTCAACAAGCAAAACAATTGGCCCAGCACTGCCCTTTGACTTTAAACAGACTATATTTGGTAACAGCAGTAAAGATGAGCCAGATGATATCTACTGTCCTGATTTACCGCCTCATCTGAAAAGAAAACTTTCACATGAAGCAACTTACGAAACTCATCCAATAATCCAGAGTGAGTCGACTAAAGATGGTTCAAGTAACGAGTCTGAACATTCAGAAGATGATGAGGTTTATGGCCCTCTACCTCCTGCTGAAGCTGTTGATATGGATGAATATATTGAGTCAACCATCCATCAGCGGACTGAAGCTGCTCAGCAGCGACTTAAGAATGTATGTTGATATTCCTGTTCATTTCAGCAGGCCATTCATTCTCTTATGAAAAGTATTTGTCTGCTTATTTCAATATAATTATTAGGAGTAAGATTAAGATGAATTAAATAAATGCTTTAACACTCAAATTGCTTGAGAAATTGATTATTTTTTTATTCTTGCAGTATGTTTTTTATGTATAAGTATATATATCGTTTGATCTATAAATGTTGTTTTGCAACATGTTGATGTGTTGTCAAGTTACCTCTTGATGTTTGAAACATACTGTACCCCACTTTCACTGCTAACTAATTTTGTAGAAGAACAACAAGGCACCCACGAGAGAAGACTGGATGTTAACTCTACCTGAAGATCGCCCGCTGTTCTCTGGGCTTGGACTACAGGCCAGGCAGTTCTCCAAGAGTGGCAAGAGAGATCGAGGCGACACATCAGTCTGGACTGATACTCCTGCTGATAAAGAGCGCAAAGCACAGGTCTATTTTGTGTACATTTAAAAGATGTTTTCTAGTTTTTTTTTCAAAATGTTCCTTCTGCTCTGTTGTTTATTTTGCTTTAGAATCTGTTCTATGCCAAATAAAAATCATAATTTATTGTAACCAGAACTTATGTTTGTCAGGAGGTACCATCAATCTTTTAGAATTCATCGCAAATTAGTTGCGCACACTACCAATCGAATTTATGCAGATATTCTTAATTACGTATAAAGTAGTCTTAACAATAATCATTTGACTGTATTTTGTTCTTGTAGAGAGCAGCAGAGGGCCGGAAAACCAGCAAGCACGAGCCTGAAGCTCATGCTAACCCTCGCGACGAGCGCATGCAGGCTATGGTCGCGAAGTACAACGAAGCCAAACGCGCCCAGCCGCTCATTGACACGCATCAGAGCAGCAATAAGAAGGTCGTCAAGACAGTTGCGGTCTGCTGCCGCTCTTTGCTCTGGTTTTCTCCGTAGCCTACTTCTTATTGTTTGCCCACTACTACTTCCCTGTGGCTCACTGCAATTTATTTGCTGCCTCTTACAACCTCTTCATCGTTGACCTCGATTTCTTTGTATAACTAAACTATATTTTTATTTATTTCGTGCCTCCTGCTTTTCATCATTTTAGTTAAGAATCTCATTTGTGTTTGGTGTTCTCAGACGAAAAAATATTAATCTTAGTACCGTATATAAATTAAGACAGTTGCAAAGTTCTCTTTTAACAATTGTTTGATTTAGAATAATTTCATAATCAAGCATTCAGCTACAATATCTATAATTGTGCATAGCTAAGATTTATTTTATAATATTTTTTTCAGACATTTTTTATTCTCATAGACGAACCAAGCTCGGTGTTAGTGGAAACTTCAAATTTTATAGTTCCCTCAAGTTATTGTGTCTAAGTTGCTCTGTGTAAAGGAATGATTGCCCTTAGCGTAAGAAAATAAAGATGCCCTTAGCGTAAGAAAATAAATAACAGCCTGAATGTTATTCTTCACATCTATAGAGTAATTTTTTTACTATATTTTCTCATTAAAATAAAATTTTTTCCATCAGCAGACCAAGAAAGAGAGCCTAAGCGTGACCGGAGTGGGTCGGGAGCGCAAGCCTTTCAGCAGAGAAGAGGATCTCCACGTCAACAAGTTTGACGAGGCGCAGAAGAGTTCGATTCTCAAGAAAGCGCGAAACCTTAATGACAGATTCTCTTCTGGCAAAAGCTCCAAGTTCTTGTAAAACTTAAAGTAATGACATCCCCTGATTTTTAGTGCATTTTCTCGTTAATGAAAAAAATGTGCTATTGTGCTCGCCATGTCCGTCCGTCCGTCCGTCTGTCTGTCTGTCTGTCCGTCCGTCCGTGACTTCACGTTTTCGTCGACGAGAAAACGCGCTCTGTCACTCACTGCAGTGAGTACTGAGATATGTTTTTAGACTTTCTTTTGATCTGTCATATGTTATTTTTATCGTTATTCTTTTGTACTGATATGATGACATTTTTCTCCGAGTGTGATTGGTACAAATATCGTCTACTTGTGTGTGTCAATTTTTATTTTATCAATTAATTTGTGGATTAAATGAAGGGTATTAGAACACGATATAGTTAATGAAGCGAAACGCTAGACTTTATTCTTATCAGTGCTTTAAATTATTTTCAAATATAGAAAGACTGCAATGAAGATCTGCTAATTCCATGTTGTGGTTTAGAATTGGAATTTTTCTCCCAATGTTTTGAGACAAATTGCTCCATTACATATGCCTTTATAAAATGAAATAATTGGCTTTTAATTTCCGTCTTTTGATGAATTTTGCCTATTATTACAACGTTTGTTATTGAATTAGTTATTATCGTTTCTCAGCCCCAAATTGTCAACTTACTTCATAGAAAATTGCACATTTCTTTGTGAATCTTGCTTTTATCAAATTAATGCCCTAGGTAAAGAGATTGCAGTCTCCATCTCATTCACTTCCTGTTAATAAATATAAATTAAATAAAATCCATTGTTTGAACTGTTTTGGAACACCAATCCATGCATTTTCTTATTTACAGAAAGCGCGTGTGTGGAACCTTGAAAACGATTTCTTTCTTATTCTCCATCAATCGGTCCTGAATAGAACGATAAGCTCCGATTTAATGCCGACTACCGACCCCGGATTGACTTTGAATTTGACTGCAATAACTTTCGTTACTGTTGTCTACTTGACGTGCTGCATATCACTAACTACATGAGCAAACAATCCCATTTGTCCTGGCTGTATCATGCAAAGACTTACGTTGGAGTAACATTTCTGTTTTCTACGGAATAATCCGAACTTGAATAAAAATCACTCATTTCGATTGGACTCTTGTAAATTTTTCCAGCTTGTAAGCTTATTAATCAAGAAAATATTTTTTTCTGAAATTTAGGTTTTTCCGATCGAGACAAGCGATTTTCCGCTCGAGTTTATTAGTCAACTACCATCCGTCTTTTTTCTCTTCTAAGGAATCGGACAGGCTCTAACATGTTGGCCAGTCGCCAATCAGAGGTCTTGTCATGTACGTTGATATTTTAATGTCAGGTGCGATGGAAGATGTGTTCGAGAATGATCTGATTTTAAACATATTTCATGCTCACACAGCTCTCTGGAATCGTTATATTATGACATGGATAATAAATCCATTCGGCAACAGTGAGTGGTTTGGAAATGGAGGATCTAAAATACCAAATATTGTTGGGCCGTCAATATTGTTGACTTTTACTTTTACCGTCATTTTGGTTTCTGTTGCGATCGGAAACAACCCGTCTCTTCGTAATCACATCCACTCAATTTGTTGGCCTATAATACCTGACCTTAAGTTCAGGATTGCTAGTTTAACCGATAGCAGCAGCTTTAGTGATATCAGTGAGCGCGTCAGTAATTCAAATGTCATATTTGAGCTCAAAGAAGGATTGGTGGGAGTTTATTCCATGCAAGGAAGAAGAGGCAACATGGAGGATAGGTTCAGTGTTTTACAAGATGTTTCTGTTGGCTCCAACAAGAAAATGTCCTTCTTTGGAGTTTTTGATGGGCATGGAGGGCAGGTAAATTGAATTGGAAGATCATTATAAATGAAGCCAATCAAGCCATGTATGATATTGACATAGTGGCAAAGCAGAGAGTTTTTTAGACTCTCCCTCATGTTCGTTTTTGAGTCCTATAACTATAAGTAGACCAGTAAAGTATCCTGGATACCAGCATTAACATACATAAGAAATTTGTTCAAATCTTGGGTAAATGAGGAAATTAAAAATGAACTGATTCTAAAAAACTTCTGGTTTGTCACTATGGATATTGATAATACCGTAGATGATTGCTTGTCGAAAGCAAATTTTTGTGCTGTAGAAAGTTTTAATTATATAGGGTAAACGCGGTATATTCTGACATCGTAGGTAATTCCGTCACCTCTCCATCTTTTCCTTTATATTAAGCTTTGTTTTGGTTCCATGCGTTTGTTGATGGTTGAAATGGTGACGTCATGCATTTGCGAGTCAAAATACTGCCAAAACACTAGGTCTTGGCCATCTCGTGGGAAAATATTGAGATCCAAAGAGAGACTATGCATGCCAGGTGGTGAGATCATCGAAAAATGTGTCAAATTTGACAGTTGACATGGCTCTACCAAATAGTGAATAACTGTTTTTATAGGAAGAATATTATGGTTTGAGACTTTTAAATACGTCTGTGAATATATTAGGAATCCTTTAAGTATACTTGTATTTGCTGATTTCAAGTCATATATAAATTAATAGATGATTAAGTTGAGATGTTGGATTTAAACACATGAAAACTAATTCTGACACGACTTGAATTGGACACATACAGATCGTTCAAAGCTTTGTACAAAAATTGAAATTTGCTTAATTAAAAGCCTAATAGCTGTTAATTAATACGTAATTAAGTAGTGTTCAATATTCGTTAGTGTTCTAATTCAAAGCCATGTTGTATCCCAATGCAGCCCAGACTGGAATAATGGGCAGATTATTCAGAATACCGCGGGTAAAAAGAGGCTCTTCAAGGGTGAAGTTGGAAAATCGCGGGTAAAATTTTCGTCCTCCCGGGTGCTTCTAGAAAATCGCGGGTAAGAATTTGCTGTTCTTGGGCGATTTTACAAAATCGCGTGTGAACAGCTGCTCCCTACCGTCTCTCAAGTCTCAACTTCTCGCGCCGAGCCGCCGAACGAGAGGTGCGCTGCCATAGACCAGCAAATTACCTCAAATCAGCCCTGGAGCCAACATCAACCTTCTAAATGCTATTGATATAGTCATCCTGGCAGTGGCACCTAAGCAGCTGTACTCAATTGACCCATCGTACCACACGAACTTAAAACCAACAATGCTTCAGCTCACAGCCTCACAAAGTCACAAGCTGCTATTCCACATCGGTTGATACGTCGTTCTCCAATAACTTTCAACCCATACCATCGCCTTGAAGGAATGGATCGTCGGCAAGCATATGTATAAATTGTATATGATAGTCGTATGTCGGATGGTTCTACAGGCGATTAAGTTGAAAACACTGGTTGTCGAGTCGTTTCTATAATACTATGGAGTTCTTNCATCTATTATTAATATCGTATTTCTAATGTTCCTAATATTCTAGCGCTGGTCGTCGGATCGTTACTATGAAATTCTTAATAAATTAATGTTGTAGCCAAATAAATTATAAATACACTACAAAAGTCACTTGTTTTAATCGTATAACACAAAGAATCTTTAGTCTACTTCAGGCCGGGTGGCCCAGTTGTTGAAGCTCAAAGTACCAAAATTGGAGCAGTGAGTTGCGCGTTCGAGACCGCAACAAGCTGTGAATGTTCTGCGATGTTAAGAATCTGCGACACGCCTATAGCCTACTAAACGGTGGCACTGCTATTATTATTATCTATTATATAATTGTAAATTCATAGGCATAGAAATTGCACAGCGGAGCTATATAATATTACTATGCTTTGAAGATGCTAGATAAATTAATTAACCCCATGTCATGTTCTAATGCTCGTCTTTGTCCCCAGGCCTATTTTTTGTACATGGAGAAATAATAAAACCATCTAATCCTTGAACTTGTACACCTCCCTATTATCCTACAATTACGGAAGCTATCTACCAACCAATTCAATAGACTATTGAATTTGTCAGTAATTGTGTAAAAAATATAATAATTGAAATCGACGCGAATATGTACGGTAATTAAAGTAATGAATTAGAACCATCTGGAACTCGATTGTTCAAATTTATTGCCGAACATTTCCTTTCTTTACCTTATTACCTTAAAGAACAATTTTGATGATGATTTTTTTTTCAGCTGTGGAACCCAGCATGAAGAAGATGGTCCCACGATGATCAATGAAAGGTCCTGCATCATCACGTCGTGATATGTTGTCGTCTGATGAAATCATTGGCCTATAACGTGGGTCATGGGTCAAATCTTAAATTTACTTCAGTAGACATTTTCTTCTTATTAATAAACGAAATTATGTTTGTATCAATGAATACAATATACACAATGTAGTCAATATTAATTATACGTTTTTCAAAGGTTTTCTGAATTAATTTTCATATTCAAACAAATGTACTAAATCAGTTTTGATATGTATCGCTCCACTCATGAGCACTGAGACAAATGGGTGGGTCTGGATGACCCATTTTGATGAGTCAACCGTGTCTGAATGTCGATCCACCCATTAAATTTCAGGCATGACTCTCTTAACTGAGAGAAAAAGGCCCCCGTTTTGAAACACTTGGGTGTTTCAAAACCTCTCGAGCTTGACGCGCTTATATTTGTGCGGCAAGCGTCGCGTGGTCAGTGCGCCGAATGCTGTCATAGGAGGTGGTTGTGTGGAGCCGCCGCTCATGAATGCCACGAATCTATACTGCTTACGGTTAATTGACTCGACTCAATTCGGTTAATTGTTTCAACTCACTGCTGTTCTTTTGTCAATAGTAATGTTAACGAGCGATGTCTATGCCATTCAATCGCACAAGAAGTTGATCAAAAATCGAAGATTTATTCTGGTAGTACCGCGCGCAAGACAAAATAAACACGGCAGCTCTATGTAGTTGCCGNACACTGAGAGAAAAAAGCCCCCTGTTTTGAAACACTTGGGTGTTTCAAATCCTCCCCGAGCGATCGTTCCCAAACCGAAACCCAGGCGTTTCAAACACTTAGGTGTTTCAAAATCGCAAATTTTGAAACACCTGAACGTTTTCGAAACACCTGGGTGTTTCGGTTTGGGCACGATCGCTCGGGGAGGATTTGAAACACCCAAGTTTTTCAAAACAGGGGGCAACAATTTTTCTCTCAGTGCACTGAGAGAAAAAAGCCCCCCATTTTGAAACACTTGGGTGTTTCAAATCCTCCCTGAGCGATCGTGCCCAAACCGAAACCCAGGCGTTTCAAACACCTAGGTGTTTAGAAATCGCAAATTTTGAAACAACTGAACGTTTTTGAAACACCTGGGTGTTTCGGTTTGGGCACGATCGCTCGGGGAGAATTTGAAACACCCAAGTGTTTCAAAACAAGGGGCATTTTTCTCTCAGTGCACTGAGAAAAAGTGAAAAAAGCCCTGTCATGTGGACCAGACGGCTTCCATCCCAGATTGCTCAAAGAATTAGCATCCGTTCTGGCCGGCCGCCCATTGACAGTATTCTTTCAAAAAACCTTGAACGAAGGAACTTTGCCGTCCGACTGGAAAGAAGCTCAAGTAACACCATTGTTCAAAAAAGGTGACAAAATCAGCCCCGGCAACTATCTCCCTGTCAGTCTGACAAGTGTTGTTTGTAAGCTAATGGAATCTGTTGTGAGGGATAGGATTATCGATCACTTGACTGCTCACCATCTCATATCAGATTGTCAACATGGTTTTATTGCCGGCAGATCCTGCACCACTAACTTATTATCTACGTTGAATGATTGGACTCGCCTGCTGGGCGAAAGGGAGCCAGTGGATGCATTGTACCTCGATTTTGCCAAAGCATTTGACAGTGTTCCGCATGAGCGGCTGTGGCGTAAAGTGAAGTCCTTGGGGATTGAGGGAAACGTACTCCAATGGATCAGAGATTTTCTAGTAGGTAGACAACAACGTGTCAGTATTACAGGAACCGTGTCAGACTGGGCATCAGTGCGCAGTGGCGTGCCACAAGGAAGCGTCCTGGGGCCTATTTTGTTCGTTGCTTTTATAAATGATCTGCCAGACGTAGTGTCCAGCGTGTGCTCCATGTATGCCAACGACACAAAAGTTTATAAAACAGTGAAGAATGTGTCAAATAAAGCGCAATTGCAAGATGATCTTGACAGCTTAGTTAACTGGGCTGATACGTGGCAGCTGCGGTTTAATGCTGACAAGTGTAAAGTACTTCACCTCGGAAGGATCCGGGCAATGAAAGATCCGGGTCATGAAAAGATCCGGGCAAATAACACGATATTAGATCTTCTGTGAACAAGGCACGAAAAGGAAAAGAATCGGCGACAGGAGACATCAGGCCTACACCTCAGCGCCGACATCACTATGTTATGTTATGTTATGTAACTCGCTACTGAAGGGTTTGATGTAGCTGCTCGCGTGTCCGCAATCCGTATTACGAGAGACGCCGCCACAGCCCACAACGGCAACGGATGCTTGCACTGTGATTTTATCAGTGAAGGAAGGTACGACGAATTCATTACAGCCTTACATGTAATGAATTATTTCTGGTGATGTGCTTTCTAAGGGCTTTTGGCCATTACTGTTGAAATTGTAGCTCTACGGGCACGGTTAAATTTATCCATGGCCACGGGTGAAATTATCCATGGCCATTGGCTTAGGGTGAAATTATCCATGGCCACGGGTGAAATTGTCCCTCGTTGACGGGTGATTTTTGCTCTTGTACGGGTGACTCCTGCCCATTATTCCAGTCTGGTCTCTTTGGATCTCAATATTTTCCTGCTAGATGGCCAAGACCTAGTGTTATGGTAGTAGTTTGACGCGCAAATGTATGACATCACCATTTCAACCATCAACAAACGCATGGAACTAAAACAAAGCTTAATATAAAGGAAAAACTAGAGAGGTGACGGAATTACCCACGATGTTGGAATATACCGCGTTCACCCTAGATAGATGATATTTTATCCAGCACTCAATCTCAAATATCCAGCAGAATTTTCATAAAATCATAGGGGTAAATGATCATTTCACATGATTTTTACAAACTGCTCGTGAAAGTAGCAATAGGCTGAATCCCTTAGATTTAATATTGAAGAAATTAGGAAAGGGTCATATGAATGGGCCTAATTTACAGGCATTTTTGCACAATTCATTAGTGGCTTCTGCCCACTTTTCCAGTATGGTCCAGCAACAGCATAAAATTGGCTCTGAAAAGTGAAAATAGTGGGAAAACTAGTTGCCTGTTCTATTGGAAAGTAACTAAATTTACTTCATGCCTGATGCTCAAGCTCAATAATGACAGTATGGTATGGTGAATTATAAATTACTTGCCAAGTTGCATTGATAACAATTTTACATAATTCCAAAAATGTTCAAGTATTGCCAATTGTGTGTCAGTGTCACTCAAACTGAAACACACTTAAAGTTAAACTTACCTGCCACAAGGGCTAAATTTCCTTAATGAAACAGGGGGCTTTTTGATATTACAGACAGTGAAATTAGGTGTTATTGACTGATAAAAGTCTCTATAGCTATGTAAATGATTCAGACGATTCTGTTGTATACTTCTTTCAAATACTTGGAGTACAATATTTTGAGATGGAATCTTCCTTTTTCTAAGCCACGCAACTTTGCCACTGTTCAATGGACTGGCAGGGCATTTAAAAACGTTTTCTTGTTTTGGACGAATCTTCATTGCAGGTAGTTTTAGTTTTATTTCAATACATTTAAATAATTTCAAATGTAAGCAGAGCGAACGTCTACCGAGATGACGAGAATTACGAGATTTTGAAGGTCCTTCTCAGACATCAGCTGATGGTTAATACTTTTAATCCGTAACATCGGATACATTCTCGGATCGACTCATAATCGCATAGGCTCAAAATATAATTGTCTTTTTCAATTTCTGTGAACAGTTACCTATTTAAAAAATATCAAATGACATATTTCAATCAAAAATAAATTAACAAGTAGATTGTTAGAATTAAGGTGCTATGAGGACAGTGTATAATAAGGTTCAATAATATTAATTACACTGGGTTACAAAAAAAAAATTCAAAGCTGCCTAAGGTTCTCGAGCTGAATAGGACTAATTTCAATGCTCTGAGTCCGGAACGTATCTTGGTTATATAATAAGGGAAATAAGTGAAAAGTTGAGATTAGAGTGCAATTTATTGAGGATAGCTTATTAATTTAAGTAGAGCTTATTTGTGAGTCGAATTGTTATGATTGTTGCAGACTAACACAGAAGGCACGTAAGCGTACAGCCCAGCGCGTAGAATAAAGCTTTTAATCTCCCTATAGGCCGATTCTTTCGTAAGCCTAGAGTATAATTTTCAACCATATTCCTATTATCATCATATAACTTAATACAAACCAAATTGTTAACATACACGCCACATTAGCGGTTCTCTAAGGCAGACCATTTAAGTGTGATCATGACTGTGAAATCAACGAAAATCAAGAATTCTTACTTATTATTATTAATATGGATGACATAGATCTTTCAAAATTAATGTTCCGAAGAAAAACGAGGAGAAATTCAATATCTCATTAAAGTAGCAACTTTTCAATATCCGCAGTAAATCTGGGCCTGAACACAGAAATTGGTAGATCAAAAAATCGCGCCGATACGAATGTATCAAAAAAATAATAAATGCTTAAATTAACTACATTACCATATTCATTTTCTAAATTCACAAAATCACACAAATAATCTCCATATTTTGCGCGCAGAAATTCAGAAAAATTAATAATAGATTTGTTCACTTTTCAGATCTATTTAATGGCACTGAGAAACTTTTTCATTCCAGATCGATCGATGATATTTAAATCGTGTCAACATTATTAGGTGGAATTACTCAGTATAAAGTCTCATTCAACAGTAACATATAAATGTTCTACTGGATAACGACATAAAAATTACATTCCAGATGCAACTTTATAATTATAATTATAAGAGAGACTAATTAATCCCCTACGACTTTATTAAATTGGTACCAAAGCTAAATTAATTAAAAAATGATCAATATTTATACTCGTCACATGGCTACACGCTCGCCCTTGACTTTAACACTAAAAGATCGGTGGAAAAAAATCTTGTTATTTATGATAAGAAAAAATACGTAGAACGATCAGAAAAACTTATGGATAATCTTGTCCAAATAGCGACACCCTTTCTTAACAACAACACAAGCAAAGAACAGAAATAGCACAGATACACCCTTTTGTTAAGCTTAAGTGGGTCAGAATGACCCACACAAGAGCAATAAGTGAATTGCTATTTAGACAATGTCAAACTCATTTCTCTGAGAGTGCAGACAAAATTCAATGAGTGATAATATAACAAAAATCATATTGCCACAGGTATCCCAGCATACAGATTCATTAGTTTCTAAGTTATGAAAGCAAGATTGGACATAATTACCTTAATAACCATAACCTTAACATAATTACATAATAATGTTTCAACTGGAACATCAGAATTATTTATTTGATTCACTACAAGCAACAATGTTTGAATAATACAATGTTAATAACATAACACGACCGATGAAATATTGTTCTATATATAACTCGTCCCAATGATCACCAGTTTGAAATCACTCGCTAAATCGTCCATGAATTTGAGTGAAGAATTATAGTCAATAGAATTGCGAGACAAGGTATCGGTCTTGCGCATAAAAAACATTGAGTGTGATAGTGCAACACTTATATAGATATACAGTATATGTTTTGATGATATATAAGGTAAGATGCATAAAGCTACAACACGAGGCTATACGAAAGGTTAGAGGAGAGAAATGCTGGCATACTCACAACACTGCTGACAATTTGCATGGCGGGCAACATTCGTGTTTAAATCGCAATTTTCGGCTATCATACGAAGCGCATATTCCACTATCACGCTAAGGCATGGCGCACATTATATTGACTGATCTAAACTTCTCAGTTGCCTCATCCACATGAGCATGCATGAAATTGCATTACTTTTCCAGACGATGTTCAAAATAATAGAAAATTTGATGTAGGTTATATCGCATATTTCGCAAACCATGAAAACGTTTTATTCGCCAATTCTCTAGGTATAATATACGGTATTTCAATCCATAGAAGATCAAATATTTCTCGAAGGAGAGTAATGTGCATGTTAGATGCATCCGAAACCAGTAAATTCATCAATTACAAGTGTTATTTTTGCGTCTCCAATCGGTGAGCCCTGTATATAATCATATAAAACGTGGAAATTATGAAGATATTGTGAAGTGACGGTAAGAGTGTATAAAAAATCCTTATTTGTTGATAACCTACCACACTACTACATGGCATTCACTGCAGCACCTCAGCGGTATTTTCACTACGCGCATACAATGATCGCCTAAGTCACTGTTCTCCAGACCAGACCTGTTAAACGCATCATTTTTTTCGAGGTTAGTAGATCATTTAACCCAAGCTATGCTATCTAAATAATACGAACACTTTGAATGGTTTAGTTAAGATCCACTTTAACATACATCCTCTTCTGATCATATTTCAAACATCCCGCTAATAGCAAGTTTTAATTTTAGTTCCACAAAAAAAAATTCTCGGACTTCACCACAGTATTTGCTTTCTTAAATTTCCTACTTGGCAGTGAAAATATATCCTTACAAAAATATGGATAAATCTTACTACGAGTTAAAGTTTTTAAATTAAGTGTTTGCTTGACAAGCCTGATCAATTTCACTATCGTACGCTCCTTTAGGTCACCATCACAGCTTAAGAATATACAGTTCCATGAACTTTCTCAAACTCTGCAGCATCAGCCAGTACAAATTGACAACAAGTAAAACAATATTATTGTAAAATTGACATAAAAACTACGAGCACAAAGAGATTCGCTGTTACAACTGGACACAATTCGCTGATGCAAAGCTGCTTATATCAGTCATTAATCCAAAGAATATTACCTAGGAAGAAAGTAAAACTTAGAACTCTAACTTAACTGCTTTCTTCTCAACTTACTTCATCCATCACTAACGAATTATTAAACACTTAAAGCAACGCCATCTAATCTGCATCGTAGCTTCTTTTAAAACCAATTTAATGAGGGAAACATCTCGATCACTACATCGTAGCACCTACTGTAAGGCAGGCTAGAAACTACAAGTTACATGAAGGCAGCGATCGTAGACGTCATCAGTCTCTCCAATTAGAGCGGCCATGAGCCCGAGTGCACTGCACATGCAGTGCCGTGCAGCACTAATTAGAGCGGCCATGAGTGCACTGCACATGCAGTGCCGTGCAGCACTAATTAGAGCCACCATGAGTGCACTGCACATGCAGTGCCGTACAGCACTAATTAGAGCGGCCATGAGTGCACTGCACATGCAGTACCTTGCAACACTAATTAGAGCGGCCATGAGTGCACTGCACATGCAGTGCCGTGCAGCACTAATTAGAGCGGCCATGAGTGCACAGCACATGCAGTGCCGTGCAGCACTAATTATAGCGGCCATGAGTGCACTGCACATGCAGTGCCGTGCAGCACTAATTAGAGCGGCCATGAGTGCACTGCACATGCACATGTGCGTTGGTTAAGCTCAGATTTGTGCAGACATGAGCTCGCGTTTCCTCATCCACTCCATGAACTGCCCGGGCAGCTCCTCGAGCACGGCCTTGGCGAGCGCTGAGCGGGCGGCCGCGCGGTCCTCGGGACCGTTGGGAGGCAGGAACTTGCGCAGCTCTGCTCACCATCATCAAAAATTTATATTCCATAAAACTAACTATAATTTACAATTTCATCTTCAAACAATGATCTTAGCGCGGGTAAAATTTGTATTATAGGTCCAATGACAGAATTAGCTACTATCATCATTCCACATTTGTATAATATGTCCAATGATAGAAGTATTCACTATCCGGCCATTCCACATGAGACGCAGAGAAAAAGCAATTCATACTAAATTTTTCACTCTTTATTACTTATTAAAATTGTGGTTCGAAACCGTAGTGCCACAAACTGAACTCACCGACGAACTGGACGATGTCTCGCTCGGCCAGTTTGCCCTCGTGGCTGATCCTCTTGTTGTCGGCATCGAGCTCCCGGAGGTCGTTGAAGTCGTCCTTGCCCACACCCACAATGATGATCGACATCGGGTGCTCGGCGGCGTTCACGATAGCCTTCTTCGTGGCATCCATATCTGCCAGGGTTAAGGTAAATTCATCATAGATGATAATCAAATGAAAACCCAGATTGAAAGTGAACGTGGTAAATTCACTTGAGCGTTATATAACTTTATCAACGCGTTTATAGACAAGATAAGAGTGATATACAAATGAGTGAATTAGACTTTGAATAGTCGAAAGCATGTAAATGTCTTCAAAGTCCAGTAAAGTTGATAGAATGAAAGCCTTCCAGGGCCTACGTGCAGACCGAGGTGAGGTCAAAGACAACACGGAAGAGAAAAATATAAAAGACACTCACCATTGACGCCTCCGTTGGTGATCATGAGCAGAATCTGATAGCTTCGACCGTCGTTGCAGCGAGCAGCGATGCCGGCAACGTGGTTGATGATGGGGGCCAAGTGGGTGATGTTGTGCAGAGTAACTGCTCGAGGAAAAGTGATGAAGAGCTGTGCAGATTATGATGGAGGTCATGTGCAGGGTAACTGCTCACATGAGGAGTAATGATGGAGGTACTGATTTATCGTTAGAAAAATTGACACATACTGTAGTCATATAAAAAACACATTGGATCATGCGGCGTAAAAACTATCGAGAGAAACCATTTTTTAATAAAGTAATAATGTAAAGTTGTTATGCCCCAAAAAATTATTGACTAAGATTTCAGATTTGTCAAATAAAGGCTTAGAGAGTTCAATGAACAGAGGACAGGGAAACTGACTGGAGTTGACGGTGTTTTAAAAAGCCAGGTAAAAGAACAGCAATTCAAGTAGTGACAACACTGGACAACAACTGACTGGAGTTGACGGCGTTGTAATAAGCTTGCAGGAGGCCCGTGACGCCCTGACAGTTGGGGTTGGTCTTGTGGCCGTTCATGTAGAAGCCGTGGCTCAGGCGCCCGTCCGACAGCTTCCCGCCGAACCCAAGAGCAGGAAAGTATCCGTCTGTATGACAATAGCGAATGCATTAGTGAAAACAGTGAATACGATTATAAAGCTAGCACCAATGATGCTTTAAACTCAATAGGATAGAGAATAATTTCAGGTAGTAGAATGTTACTGACAATCACACAAATTATTTCGATACGATATGATCTTAGAGAAGCCTATGGTGTTTTTAAACACGAAGCCTCCTTGTAGCCTAAAATCTGGTATGGAATTTTGGCGCGATGAGGAGATAATGACAACGAATAGAGTAATAGATCATTTCCAGCAAATAATCGACGTAACTAATGATATAGGTATCTATTTGTAATTTCCACGAATGCGCTATCAGCGCGAAATATTCAGTAATATACATTGAATTTTATTGTTGGATATAACTCTCATGGCTCCACAAATTTATTTAGGCAGAATTGACAATTTTCCTTCAGGGCGCGCCGAAAGGCTCATTAACGTGATAACTTATCGATAAGATTGAGAATTCGTTACACTATCATATTATCACAACCTAAAATTTAAGATCTTTGGGTATATTACGGATAATCAGATCTCCAAGTCTAGAGGAATTCAACGAGTGGTCCGTACATGATTCATTGAACAAAAAGGATTTCGATTGCACATGATTATGCCCAAATAACCCGCTGGTCATACTAAGATAAATCATCAACACTGAAAACTTTGTCTAGGTGTTGAAATATTAAGAGTTGAATTGAGGGATAGTTCACCAGAGTCGTAATCCTGGACGATCTCAGCGATGGCGCGGATGGCTGTCATGTACTCGTTCTCGACGCCTTGCTTGATGAAGTGCAGGGAGCTGCTGTCCTTCACGTCACCGTTGCTCGTAGTGAAGTCCACGGCCAGCGTGAAGTGCAACTGCAACAACGATTTTTTTACAAATCAGTATTAACGCGGTCATCCGGATAATGATTATTTTTAGGTCAAAATAAACGCGTGAATCCGGAGTAAAGATTATTTTTAGATCAATTTGAATGTGTGAATCAGGAGGAAAGATTATTCAAAGTTCAGTATTAACGCGTACAACATGAGTAACAATTATTTTTCGTTCAGTACGAGCGCATGCATTTATCGAAACGAGCCAAAAGTAATTATTCAATTGAGTTTTTGTTATAGATCAGATCGTAGTTCTGATTAACAACATTCGTTAATAGATCAGGAAATAGTTACCTGACAACCCTGTCTGATGTAGTGGAGGAAGGAGAGCTCGTCGCGGGTGCCCATCTCCATGAGCTTGAGCACGCCGGAGTTTGTGTACTTCTTCTTGGACAATTTCTTGGGGTTGATGAGGCTCTGCGTGTTGGCCTCGCATGGACCCATGCGCATCTGAGCAACGGTTGTCTCGCACTCGCCGATCAGGTCATGCTTGCCTGTACGAGACGTTAACAAGGAAGTTCATAATTGGAATTATCAATGATTAATTAATCACTCAATAAAAACAGTCTTCAATCAGTAATTTTCGAGCACTTGGTAGCCTGACAAGAGAATTAGTGAAGTCCTTTAGAAAGAAAGAGATTCTACAATGTAAACTTTCTATGTTATATCTAATTTTTTTGCATATGCGGGAATTTCAGAAAATTATTCGATCAGAATAAATCTCTACCAATCAACATAACTTGACAAACTCGTTCCTTACTGGGAGGAACATAAAATACCCTCAAAATACTGATGAAAATCAGACAGCACTATTTTTCGGCCTCACCATTGTCGTCGGCATCATAGCACTCGATCTTGATGACTCTATTCTCGTCTCCGCCACAGAGAAGCGTGATAGGCAGCACCATGGGCGCCCACACAGGGTTCAAGGTTTTCTTGATAACCTCTGTCTTGGCCACGATCGAGAAGCTCTTATCATTGTTCTGGCGTTTAAAAACAAGGAAAGGATCGCTCTTGCTGAAAGTATCTTTCTTGTCGAGATCTGTGGCACAGTACGAGACACAGAACGCCTCGTTCGAGACCTGTACGGGCTCGGCTGCCACAATAATGGAACCGTTCTTCTTGCCGAGATCGAGACTGCCTTTACCGCCGGCGTTCATAAGCTGGCCTATGCTTAGGCCTACAGTGCCGATGAGATCTTTCTTGTTGAGAGGCGCAGTCTTAGGATCAGCCTTGTCGCCCTTGTCCCAGTCGTAGACACTCAACACCAGAAGCTGAAGAAGAAATTACACAAAGATCCATAAATTTACGGCTTTCGAAAGCAATATTCAGCGAATACAAGAGAAGCAAATTAGATTAATTTTTTGCACAGTAAAAACAAGCATTTTTTAGCATTAAAGTCAGCGTAAAAGGAGGCACAAAAAGATCAAGAAATTGATGGGTTTCAAAAGCAACATTCAGCAAACACAAGAAATTTAATTAGATTAGTTATTTGCACAATAAAAAAATTTTTTTAGCACAAAAATCAGCGATAAAATTTGTTTTGGCATTCAGAACATCTCATTTGTTCAGAACATGAATTGTTGGCTCTCGTTGAAAAAATTAACCTGGCGAGCCTCGAAGTGGTAATCGATGATGAACTTGGTCATCCAGACAGGGTTGACGTTATCCTTGACGACCTCCGTGCGCCCGATCTCCTGGGCCTCGGCCCCCTCCACCTCACTCATCGACACCACCAACAAGGGGTCGCTCTTGCTCAGCATGTCCTTGTTCTTCAGCTTACTGCCAGAAGAAAGTAAGTCGGAATCTTGAATTTTTTGTTGAATTTTTTGGTACTTATATTCATTCCTACGCAATTCAGCTTACTGTGAGAAGAAAGTAAGACGGAATCTTGAATATTTTTGTTGAATTTTTTGGTACTTAAATTCATTCCTACTCATTTCAACGTAGATATTTGGTTATTTCGTAGTTATTAATAATTTAGTAGTTATAAATAGTTATTACATGACAAGATTAATAGTCAAATAGCCAATTATACTAAACATAAATTACCATAAACTTGTCAATTTATTTATAGATATAACGGTTTGATGAATTTCAAGAAAGAAGACTTCAAGCGTCGATTACGATTCATTCAAGAGCACGGCAGTGAGAGACACACACTGAACAATTTTCCACTAAAATTTTACTCCTGTAAAATAATTCAATCGTTTCTTTTTATTCGAACCTATACATGGCACAGACATACGCCTTTATAAGATGAACCTCGTATAAAATCATCAGTAATGCTAGGCACAGTAAATGTTCATCTCAGACACGCGTGCTGGCAAGACAATAAACACAGCATCTCGTATCATTACTACCAATTACTTCAACACATCAACGTATCAAGGATACAACTCGAGCATCTTCCACAACACCCTCTTGGTACTTGCAAGCTTTTATTTGCATATAAATCCCTTCTTCACGGCAGACGGTGAAATTATAATTATTATAGTTATATTATAAATAATATTATATATTATACTATTATTTTTTTTATTATTATTATTATTATATTTTGTTCAAATTTAGTTTCACTTCTGCTTTGCTAATGTGATTTGCAATGCCATCCAAGAGCAGTTAGCCCTCGAATGCTAGCTGTTGTATGCTCATCATATGATACAGCATTACGCTACATCATTTAATATCCACCATTGTTGAATATTCAATGAAAACTATGGATATAACCATCAATTCGATATACAAGCTATAGAACTCGATATATAAACTCACGAGGCGCTGAAGGACAGCTCGAGTTTCTCTCCGAGTGACGGCATGACGACGATCTGCAATCTGCAACAGAAAAATTTCGTGAAGTTTACCGGATAAAAATTCACATCACATCCATAACGCCGATGCCAGCAAAGAGCCGAACAACCAGCCAGTACACTGGACAAACTAGCACTTACGAAACAGAAAGATGCAGAAATCACCTAATAAGAAATGAGACATTTTAACATTTTTAATGATTTTCTAGATAATATTAACAATTAGACCCACTCAAGATAATTCTTGGCATATATTTGAAATGCTAACATTAGATTAGGGGCGATACGCAAGTTAGGAGAAATAGCTCCACGATACAAAATTCTATACTCGTTATCGTTTATATGTTCCGTAAGCCTTTAAAATGTTACTAAAATAATAATTCATGTACAGAAAAATTATCCAAGATTTTCATCAATCCAAAGCCTAATGAAAATTGCGTAATAGTGTAAATTTGCGACGGCATTGCCGGCCACTGAAGAGAGTGAGTCATGAAGAGATAAGGTCTCGTGACCGCAGCTTTCGCAGCCCCGACGTCTGCATCGCATGACCTCATGCCTGACACGCTTTCTACACCCAGCGATGTACGTAAGTTGGATTCTCTAAGAATATTTTTTCGCATTTTTTAAAGAATTCTTGTGATTTTTTGTTGGATTTTCTAGTCAACTTTCCAACAGTCCAAACTTAAAGAATTTGCCTTGACTTAACAAACTTAAATTTGCCTTTGATTGTTATATAGGCAAATTTTTAATATATATGTATAGGCTAAGCAAAAGTATTAAATCGCTGCTATCGAAGTAAACGTAATTAATTTTTCAATGCCATATTTTTCACAGCTCTGACAGTGATTATGTTTTGTTTTTCAACTAGATTTGTCTTGATTTAACTATGGACAAAGGATGATGGAAAAATCTTCAATCGGCAGAATCAAGGAATTTACTTCAGAGTTGTGCGTTAATACCTGAATATGAATTTTAACGAGGAAGAATTTTAGCAAGTAATTATTTGGAAAGAGAGAGGGGATTTGGTAAGACGATGCGAGCCATGCGGCTGAGGTGACCACAGGTAACCAAGTAAGGTATCATAGACAAGCGAGCCTCACACACACAAACACACACGCCACACACTGGTTTTGTGTCTAGACGATCCCTATATACACGTATATCTGTGTACTCGGAAATTTCAATTACACACGTTTCAGATCAGCAATAGATGTGGATCAAAGTTTGGTTAATAAAATTGTCAACAATGTGATCATTTCGTGGAAAAGCTAAGTGGAGGGACTTAAATTGTAGACTTGTGGTATTTTTTAGCATATATACGAGACTTCGCCCAAACTGAAATCAAATTCGCTAAGCTCAATGTCTTCCTACAATTTTGATCACAAAATTTAGTTTAAAATTTATTGAAACAAAATAGATACCTATTGTTATTGAAAATCAAACAGTCGATCAACAGGAGTGGCGTAATGATATTATGATTGGAAGTTTACGAATACAATTTCAACAGCTGTAAGAATTTTTGTAATCCGAACACTCTTACTAATCACCACGGCCTGAACGCTGAGTTGAGCACACGTTTAATTATAGACCGAACGAAGCAATGCAATATTCGGGCAAATTTATGAGTTGTTGCCATGCGGCCAAAAAATTAGAGCTGGGATCGATGGAATGTGAAAGTTTGGGTGCACAAACGCGGGTTACCTGCTTGTCCAGAGTCTCGATTAACGTGTATGACATCTGATGCATTATACTCATGTATTAAAGTGGCCGAAATATTTGATGGAATTCGAGTGTAATTCTTCTACCGAAAATTGCAAGACAGATTGAGTTTGACGGATGAAATATGTTTTGTAGTTGTTAATTAGTTAATTATTATTAATTAGTTTTACATTTTGCAAAATATGTAGGTATATGCATAAGAAGGATTAACACAATATCTGAATTGTATAAAAGCGTTCGAAAATTTCATATGATCCAAGGAAGAGTGAATGCTGTGGCATTCAATTGCATAATTGTATGCACATTATAAAAACTATCTATCGAGAATCTTAAGGGCATGATACCCAATAAAGATACGGTATTCTGAACTTTAAGAGAGAAGGATGTTAAAAGAATGTTAAATAATAAGACATCCAATCGACACAGAATAAAACCAAGGCTTAACACGTTGACTACGAAGTAATACATATGCGTACCACGAAATGTATTTCTCCAGGACGTAGTGGTACATAATTCAGGTTGCCTGAAATTGGCCAAATCCGAGAACAAAAAAAAGCCAAAAAAGGCCGATACCTCAAAATATACTAGTTTATTTGTAGGTTCCACTATAAAAATTCCATTCATTTTCTTTTTGCAGTATTTAAAATTTAATTAGGAAGTACCCCTATCATAAATTTTAGCCAGTCAATACAATTGAGAAAAACTAAATCTCGGAATTTGTCCGGAAAAAATGACCGCCTGGCAACCCTGTTTAAAAACAGTACAAAAAATGAAATAATAGTACAAGATGAAACAATCGGAGTCAACGTGTTAATGAAGAGAAGCACCGCATGAGATGGTGCCATACACCGTGTGGGGGCGCGGACCCCGCCTAGTGACTGGCACTGTGCCATCTCAGTGCCATTTAGATGACAGCGATCATCACTTTATTTGTTCATGTTTGTAACTGCCCTAAAAATTGTCTTTTATACAAGGAGAATCTTTTTCCTACTTTTTTTTCTACAATCAAAAAGAAATAATTTATATTTAGTCCTAATAAGTCGTCAATTATGTCAGCAAAATGAATGATTAGTGTTTCATTAAAATAATTCTTCATTTCCTTTGCCAGTGTAATTAATCAAGGATTAATAAGCGTCGATTGGTCCAGATGTACTTTGGCCAAAAAGAATCTATCCATTGAATTCAGAATTATGCACTATAATTAAGAATTATGATTAAACTAAGATGAGATTAATTAAGAATTAAGAATTATGATTGATTATATGCATAGATTGAATTAAGAATTATGCACTTTAATACAGGCCGGAAACTATCCAGAATGTACTGCAGGCCGCAGAAAGAGCAGTGACCGGAGAAGTGCTTGCGTGAGCACCGCAAATGATCCATCATGCCGGCAGCCGCGGCTGCATCGATTTCCGCGGCCGGTCTCGTCTCATGAGTCCATTAAGAATTCTAAGCAGCTACAGATACAGTCACAGTCCAGCATGGAATAAATGTCAGTTCGTATTTACACATGCATGATGCATGGATATTTATAAATAACATTTTCACTGTGAAGATATCATTTCAAAGATTTCGTTTCACACAGAATCCCTAGGTTTTTCTTGACCTTCTGAGTGCATTTTTTGCAATTGGTTTCTGAATAAAATTTTATCTGGCTTAGTTCTTTTCTTAGTTATCACCAATTTAAAAAGTATTCAGTATTTATGGAACTTTAAAAGAATAACCATTTACTCTATGCTCACTCAAGCATTCAAATTCCATTATTATTATTATTTGAATGTCGTTTTTATGTATAATTGAAAAACATTTACGTTACTTTCGAGTGTCGAACGTTACTTTCGAGTGTCGATTCGAATAATCAAATTAAAAGTCATTATTTTTAAAAAGTGAAATTATTAAATAAATATAAATGACTCTCTCTGCGTATTTTTATATAAATATAAATATATTTCTTTAATATTAATTGCGCTGCAAGCAATAGTCGCAAACTTTACACAATTTTATAAGGATTTATATTAATCTCCCTAAAAATTTGCGTTTCCGACTGTCACAGCCAGTTTTGCGACGTGAGTAAATAGACATTTTGTGGGTAAAATTTCAGCGCAGAACAGGATCCAGAAAAGCATAGTTCTGTAGAAAGTAAATGATTTTCTTCTGAAAGCCACGGCTATAGCAGCAACACTTGTTGCTGATGTGAGGGCGTCTGTGTGAGAGCAGCAAGCCATCACTCATGTAGTGCTGCTCTAGCGCGGCTCTCCCACGGCGCAAAACATGAATAGCGTCCGCAGACATTACCGGAAGCGTCGTCGTTCGTGTGTACGTCAAGGCAAACGGAACGTTACACACTCGATAATACGGTCATTTTTATTATATATTCTATTTATTTTTATCTATTATACTTTTTCATAAGAAGTATCAGGAATCAGATGAATAACTTCTGGTGACCTTCACTCTTCAACTAACACTCTTCACTGCAGAAACCATCAAATCTTGAGTTAAGGATAGCTATCTTCAAAATTCTCCCTGATAGATAATAATAAAATAAATGAGACATGACATTTCGAACTTACAAAACCAGTGAAATTTCACCCGCAGAATAAGAAAAAATTCTGCCAGGACGTGCGTTTAGCGTTTAGATTAAATTACACGCTTAAGATACACGCTTAAATTACACAATTAAGAATAAAAAGCAGTTATTTGGCGCACTTTTTAACTTTATTTTTCATCACATACAGTCAAATAATTCCTTAATTTGGTTTCTTGAGTGAATAGTTTAGTAACCGAGACACGTCGTGCACGCCATGTGTCAAACGCACTCAGAGTCCGCCCAGGATCGGTGACATCAGAGCCGAGTTTAGGTGTTGTTCTGCAACTCTAGCAAGATCAAGAAGTTTGCAGGAATCAGGCTGTTATTAGCTCAAAAATAATTCATGTTAGAAAGAGGAAAGATATTGTTTTTTCTAGACCAGTAGTTGAAAATTTCTTTAGCCATTCTTGGTCAAGTGTTTTTGAAAAATTCATGATAGATTGCACATTTTACCTTCTGATGCATAAATGGAACATGTACGGTAACCTAGAAGGCCAACAAACATCCTGTATTTCGACCGGAAAACATGTAATGCACAGGACTCGCTGGTGCAAATGCATTGCTGCTGCCAGTTATCGGTTAGCTCTGGCAATCTCAACATATGGTGCATGACAACTCCTTGTTCATTTTCTCATTGATTATGTTATGAAACTCAAAATAAAAGTTTGTAATGCGATACAAAACAAGCTAGCTTCAAATACCTATCTATCACACGACAATTTAGCTAAATTTCTTGTATGAGAAGATAAATGTCTTAAATCAATTCAATTTAAAAATTTTGTCAAGCAATAAGGCCGAGATTAACCATTTCATCACGCTAACTAGCCATAGCGTTTTGGGAAAATAAAATATGAACATGATCTATCCTGACCGTTTTTCTGGAAGAACCCGTATGCAGGATTTCTTTACACAGTATGCGACTTGCTCGCAAGCGAATGCTGTTCAAGCCCAAACATAAATTAATTAAGGAAATAAAAAAGGATCTTTTTATGAAGTATATAACTCAACAGACCATTTTACTGATGAAATAGGTGTTATATACTTTGATAAGCACGGAAACTCAACAAGTTGTGAGCAACTCGAGTTTGAAGCTCAATACTGCAACAACGATCGTCTCTGCCAACGATCTCTGGCATTGACAAGCCGAGCCACTATAATCAACCTAATTCGTATGCATGGCCGCAGCTCCAGCAATGAGTTTAAGAGAACGCAGCCAACTACGTCTGCATCAACTCCTACAACACAATCCTGCATGAATTACCACAAAACCTTCAATTCTCCAAAGCCTTCATGCGTGGTTAACCTTTTTTGTGAGCATGAACCTTAATGTGCTAACACGAGTGTAAACTAAACAAGGACGGGAATGCATTAAATAAATAAAACTTTTAGAGCTTTCAGTACACATGCTTGCGAGCATGACTCGAAACCTGGAGCAGTCAAGGCAATGTCTTCGGTCTAGGTTCAAACCTGTCAGGTTTTCACAAAAATGCAATTTTGCTATAGTATAAGAACTTACTCAAACTTGCTTGTTCACAGCACATGAAAATTCGTAGCAAAGAACGCTTATACTGAGCATAGGTAAGTTCGACGCACATAGCGAGTCTCGCGTCATACAAGCAAACATGGTATATAATTGGTGCAAGACAAAGCTGCTAGAATAGCTATAGGAGCAGGGGCAAGTCTTGTTGCAGATTCACGGTGCAGACTGGTCTAAAAATGACGGGTTTTAGAGCTGACTTATAGAGCTTCGCCCGACGCCCAATTGGGTTCTTTTTATGGGCACCGGCATGCAGACCCCGGCCGGCACATCGACCGCACCGGCCTGCAAAGAAGCTTGCAAACGAGCCTCGAGGCGGTGGTGCATGGTACTGCTTCATGTGCATTGAAGGCAATACACATGAAGCACATCTACCACGCCAGCTACAAGACTAATTTCCCTCAACCTAAGAATTTAAGATATTTACGTATCATGTACCTATAGCACATATTTACGACAAACTTAAAAGTGGCTTCTCAAATTCGGCTTTGGATATGATTACGTAGAAAAGTAGCTTTAAACTACTTGCAGAAAAAATCATGATCTAAACTGTTTGAGTTTTTCACCACGGAAAATACGGTTGTCACTTCTTCAAAACATCATACAACATTGCGGAAGCTTTACAATTGGGCATAGAAACAAATTCAATTATGGGACAAAGAGCAGCTAGAATACCGCAGCACCGCTTCGATACAGCGTAGCTGTGATAGAAAAGTCGAGGCGGTCATGATTCCGACTCCACCACTCATGGCAGGAAGGTCAGACTGTGGTGAGAACCACAAGAACCTATGAAGCTTGCAGTGACACAACCAAACGCTAACCTGACGTGCCAACTGTAACACACGTGCTCTAAAACTGCATTGAACTTGCCTACGCAGCGCAATCAAGTACTGAAAAATTACGTGTCAACAATAACGATAAAATCTACTGAAAACATGACCTGGGAATCAGTAACACACGGGCTCTGCATGTTAACTGAACCTACACACCCAGTGACATAATCTACTGAAAGCATGATGTGAGAGAATCAGTAACACACGTACGTGCTCTGCGTGTTAACTCAACCTATACACACCCAGTGACACAATCTACTGAAAGCATGACGTGAAAGAATCAGTAACACACGTGCTCTGCATGTTAACTCAACCTAAAATTGTAGCGACACAACTTTACCTTTAATCCGCAACACATACGAGGATTGCATGTTAACTCGTGTGTGACTCCATAACTTTTTAATGTTCATCAGTCTTGCTAATATAATGTTTACAATTAATAAATGAAAATATACAGTTAAACATCCAAACTTCTTGAAAAACTAAAATTGATTGATTTTGAATGACAGACAGACGAGTGAAAACTATCGACATTAAATGTAGATCAACAGAAACGAGAATGAAAAAGCTAAACAGTTGTGATCAGATAATAAAAAAATGGTTAAATTGAAGAGAAACAAATGAGATTAAATTGAGAACAAGACTGTAACTGTAGTGCCTACAAATATATAGAGCCGCAGCTGATGCTGCTTGCCCTGCCATATATTGATCCCAAGCAACAGGGACACTCCCTGGCGGCTGGCTTCAGCTCCAGTTGACATCAGCAGACCAATTGGATGCCTCACGATTTTATTACAAACTTGGTCATACAGGCAATAAAATGATGGTAGGATGAATTACTTCATTCACCAATATGTTCCGTAGTTATTAACCATCATATACATTTACCTGGAGCGATTTTCATTTACGGTGCAAGAAAACAGTACATAAAATCAGTGTACAACAACTGATACATTTTTGAGCTCATAATATATTAATATAATGGGTTATTTGCAGTGGTTCAGCGGAAACGCTGGCTGCAGAATTAATAGAGCAGCCATGACAGGAAATGAGGTGGCCATGCGGTGCACTGCCACAAGCAGTGCAGCAGACACGCACGTACGTTGTAAAATCAAGCGCCGAACTGCTTGGTCTCATTGATATTTTTACAGCAACGCCATGAATAACCGTCGTCGATAATCAAGCTGCAGTGATAACGTCTTTGGTTTTCATCAATATTTAGGTTCGCTGTTAGTAATACACAGATGGAAGTCAATATTTCATTTCAATAAAACATACGTTCAACAGAATGACGGGATTAATTGGGTGATTTATTATTCACATCTCTAGCAATGCCATTGAAACGACTTCACAAGTGCCAGCAGCCAATAGATTACTTCTCATTGCTCCTTATTGCTATGCAGTTGCACGTACAATTTACGAATGAAATCCCTTATATGAGACGTATAGGTGATTTTCATAAAATGGTCACTGCCATGAATAGAAGTGCGTGCACTGATAGTATAATTGTAGTGTAACTACGAGTGATTCGTCAACACGTGTTTATAAATGTCACGATGATCGACATCTGCTATGACGTCATTGCCAGAATTGAGGTGAAATTCAGCGAGGTACATGACCAATATTTAAGGTAAACGTTACAAACCACTCAAAACTATTGTCAAAAACAGTTGGTGGAATTATGTTACGATTTATTGAGTAAACCGAATGCTATCAACGTAAATTTGTACTACATATAAAAATTAAACGACACCAGTTAATTAATTGCGATTGTTCTCCTACAGGCCTTCGTTATATAAAGTCGGGAAAGCCTCAACGATTTCAGGCAATGATTTTCAATCGATATTAGAATTAGTTGGCTCTTCTGAGCTCAGCGTGACAGAGGCTCAAACAAAGAAACAGAAACATACGAGGAATAATTCCTGACAACTTTACGATCTTGATCGCTTTACTTGAGATAATCGGGTTTAGCAAACATAGCGCTTAACCGGAGAAGAAATTTTAAGGTAAATTCAAATTATAGAATTACCAAACATAGTGCAAAAACCGTACAGAAATTTCGCTGCAAACTAAAATTGGAGAAACTGCAGAACAAACTAAGCCTTAACTTAACTTAAAAAGAAGTAATCTTGCTTGTCAAGGCTAAGTTGTGTCTTGCATGAGTCCAGCAGTGAGCTAAGGAACGCTAAGCGAGTCTAGCAGTGAGCTAAGGAACGCTAAGCGAGTCCAGCTGTGAGCTAAGGAACGCTAAGCGAGTCCAGCAGTGAGCTAAGGAACGCTAAGCGAGTCCAGCAGTGAGCTGAGGAACGCTATAAGCGAGTCCAGCAGTGAGCTAAGGAACGCAGTACAAGGTGAGACTCAGCATACCATGAGTACAAGGTGAGACTCAGCATACCATGAGTACAAGGCATAGTTTAATACATAGATTATTTTGAATCGAACAATATCGTTGAAGTTTCATATATATCGTGCTGGGTAAGTTAACGTTTCTGATAATATATGCCATGTTTTTTAAATTTTAATTTACATTGAAACGTTAAAGCTCATATTCTTGGAACTAAAAATTTACGAAATCAGTGGTTAAGTTCCCTAACTTCCCTTGGTAGCGATAACTGCTATCATAACTACCATCACAGACAATCTGTCGCCGAATTCGGCTTAGTCACTCACATGTTATTACTCTGTACTTAATTGCTCATCGCCTTCAAATTACCTAATTTATCTCTAACTACATTTTTATATCGAGCATTACTGGCGTCAGAAGAATAAAGCGGAAATTGTCTGAAATTAGTTTATACATGAAGAAGCTTCAAATTTTCAACTGTATAGCAAATGTGATTACGTTTATTATGTTAATAAGCTTGGCAAGATGCCGGCGTGCATGATAGACTGACAACGGCAGCAATCCTCTAACTTCGGGCTTGACCAAAATCCTTCCAGCCTTTTTTATATTTACAACTTTACCGACAAGCATTGAGTCTGGAGAATATAATATTTTTAGTATTACGTAATCGTAATTACTTTACTTAATAATCATTATAGACCAAATTACTTGTAGTATACTGTTAAACCTAGTGGGATAATTGGACTGCACCCAAATATATATAAAGAAAATGAATTAGTAATATCATTTATCGTGCATCCATGTATATAATAAGCTAATACTGATTAAATTTACTTTAATCTGTGATCGCTATTTCTTTCTAAATAAGAAAAATCCCTGTTTCTCTTAGTTTGGGTCGTACCTTCAATAGAAATGAGTGAATCTCAGCCGTAACAGTACGCGAGCGACGACACAACCTAACACAACGACTGCTCAACTGACACTGGCATCTGGCTCTTCAAGACGCGGATTCTTTAACTAATACAAGACTCAACTCTCATGCAACATGCCTTGTGGGTGCGGTCAAAGTGAGCTCCTTATCAGCCAACAGATGGCGCATTGAAATATAACGTTTATGATTGACTTCTAAAGTTTTCAATATATCTCAAGTTAGCATTTTGACCACTCATAAAACTGAATTTTATTAAAATTTTGTTACAGTTACTGAGAGAATAAGGACTTAACGCAACATAACTTGAGTTTAATCCAATCTTGGAAAGCGACATGCTTTGTTGGGACTGAATGAGTAAGAACTGATCTCACCATGTAAAATATCTAATCGGAGTAGTGACTGTTTAAAAAGAGACATAAACTCACCTTAGCCTAGTCACATTGTTCTATTGACATCTCTCAATTCAAAGAAAGATTCGTTGCAAAGGACTGTACTATTATTATCCCTATTAGTCATAATATTGTAAAAAGTACATACTAATAACTCTTTTGTCGTTTAGGCCGTCAAAGAGACAGTAAATCGATCGATGGAAGGAAACAAATAAATATCTGAGGCCCATTAACTTGATATTAAGCGGATTCAATTCATTTCTTCGTCCAAGAACTAAACGCCCGATGAAGCTCCAAAAACTGAGCTTTTCCTCGACGTCTCGGTCTCGGTCATCAGGAACGCGTTCGTCGCTACTAAAGATTGCAAGAGCGTGTGAGGCAATCACTGCATTGAAGGTTTCTGAGAACATGAATGATATCATTGCCTTTATGAGCATAATATATAAAATGTGTGAGCCCTTATTGGGACTGGAAGATGAATAATATTATTGAACCGGCTTCTGATCAAGATGCAAGACGATGAACGTCGACAGCCAACGCCAGAGGTCGCTGTGGACGACATTAACCGGATTTTTGAAACTTTTGAAACTCACAACCGGTACTGAAACTTCAGTTTAGCAGACAACATAGTTTACTAGATTCAGCAGTTGCTCTCATATTGCAGTAATTTCATCACCCTTTTGGGGTACCGGGTAGCTGAAATCACCAATATTTTAGCAGTTGGTTGCGGGACTTACGGGTTGAAAACCCTTAGCTAGCTGTGAAAATCCTGCGGTGACAGGGCAATCATCTCATGCTTACTATGCAATAATCAACGCTAACAGCTATGAACTGATATTATACAGTGTGTCCCAAAAAAAAGTTGCTAAAAGTAAAGGCTTATAACTCGAAAAGTATTAAACGTAGAGAGATGAAATAAAACTACATGAAAGAGTATAACTTCAAGTTTTATTTGTTATCCATGATACCAAAGTTCTCTATATATTTCATAGTTAAAACTCATTATTTTTTGAGATCAAGATTCCCCCTACAATGCAGCTGAAATCTGAAAAACGAGTTTTCATTGTCGAACAATTTTACCTGAAAACTTCACCAACCAAAATAAAGAGAGGTTATTCCACCAAATGCAAACAAGAAGTTAGTCTCAACACAATCAAGAAGTAGATACGTCAGTAGAAAGATAAAGGAACGATCATAAATCAAAACAAAGGTCATTCTGGACGGCGAAAAACTGGAAGATCAGAAGAAAACATTGATATGATTGAAGAAAGAATTAATGAATCGCCTTTGGGTTTCTTCCTATGGAGTTACATGAAAGAAAAAGTACTCAGTACAAGACCAAGTAGCATTGACAATCTAAAGATAGCAATTCGTGAAGCTCTCGCAGTTATTGACCAGGATACCTTGTCTGCAGTAACAAAATTTTGAAAAACGTATTGAGCAGTGTATTCAAGATCGAGGAGGTCATTTTGAACATTTATTGTAATTTGAATAAAACTTGAAGTTATACTCTTTCACGTGGTTTTTATTTCATATTTCTACGTTTGATACTTTTCTAGTTATAAGCCTTTACTTTTGGCAACTTTTTTGTGGGGGGTCACCCTGTATAACCTTATAAAAACACCATCAAACTTCCGGTGTGGGAAATTTTCGAATCGTTTGAATTTTCAGGTTATCCACTATTTGCAGAAAGAAATCATGTAAAATACGAACAATAATATTGTTTATATTGAATAATATTAAATCTCAGAAATCGTTTCGATGCTTCTTACAAAAATGTTTCATTTTCCAACTAAAAATAGACGACTCGCCATGATGACGTCATGTGCGGCTCAGTCTGCTACATGACGTCACGCGCATGACGTCACTTGCATGCGGTCCACGACTACGTCATCAACGTTCTTGAGTCTAAACGTCATCTGGCAGATCAGTTAACTTGACTCAGTATCTGATAGTGCATGAGTAAGAGTAGCAATCATTCAAATGAGTTCGATGTAAAAAGTTTTACCGCGCATGGTTTCATTTATTTTTCTTTACTTCATCATAACTTCCTTGAATTTTATTTTTTCTGGTCTTTTATCATAATTTTCTTACATTTTTTCCGGGCTTTTATCATAGTTTCATTATATTGTATTTTTCTATTTTTCCTGTCATATAAACGCTTACAGGATGTAGTTTATTTTTACGTCACGTTCTAACTCTGAACCAGGTCTCAAACAGGACAAGAATTTCAAAATTGGGTGAGAATTAGAGATTCTACTACCATTTGATAATATGTCCTCTGTATATTTCAATTAAAAATCCCGTCTTTTTAGCGCATTTTCTCATTTATGGAAAAAATGCACTATTGTGCTCGCCATGTCCGTCTGTCTGTCTATCCGTCCGTCCGTCTTCCCGTCTGTCTGTCCGTCCGTGACTTCACGTTTTCGTCGACGAGAAAATGCGCTCTCTGTCACTCACTGCACTGAGTAATGAGTTATATTTTTTATATATACAAGCCAAGAACTGAACGAAAATTTCGTGGTTCTAGCAATACTGAGGAAAGTCGAAACTTATTTGCTATATATAAGAGCGCCAGGTGTTTCGATTCGAGTCAGGGGAAGTTCATTTTGTGAATGAATCCAATACTAGACGGATTTCAGATAATTAAAGGATTAGAAAAACACGTTCATATGCAGGAAAATACGTATTAAAGCTTGTAGTACGAATCTGTCGTAGCGAGAAAGAAAATTGACAAGGTGAAAATTTTGAAAGAGTCAAATTTAGAAAAATTTCAACTGAAAATACAGCAAGAGATTAAGTGATAGGTAACTAGGGCAATTTAGTGGTGCTGGTAGGAGCAGAGGTAGTGATGTTGGTGGTAGCCATGGAGGCATTGGTGGTGGTGGTAGCCATGCTGGTGTTGGTGGTTGCCATGGTAGCCATGATGGTGGTGGTTGGTCCAGCCCCTGTCGCACAATAGCTCGTCACGCACTTCATGTATGCCATCACCTGTAAATTGAAGTGAAATATTTATAAATAATACATTATTTATTTAGGTAATATACACTTAACTTGGATATATATATAAATATAAACATTCATTTATCTATGAAGAAGAATTATATACGTCAGGTTAGTCACCATTATTTATCCCGGCGTTTTGCCGGGTTATTAAAAGAGAAAAAATAGGAAATTAACTCAAGCTTACATTGAACTTAAGCAGATCATCAGTCGGGCAAGCGTCCAGCCCCATCCTGGTGTTGACTTCCAGGCTGGAGCCCGCAACTCGGGCCAGAAGCTCGGCCTTCAATCCTTCAATGTTAAAAGATCCGTCCGCCTTCACCTGCGTCAAATGAAGACAAAATTCAAACTAAAGTATTTTAACTAAAAATCTTTCACCAATTAATTTATCTTCCAATCAAAACTTAATATTATAACATCATCCAACTTTTAATCAACATGTGAATTCTTCCTTAAGATATTTTATAGATGACAAAGGACCTAGAACTTAGCGATGGACTCTTTACTGAATATTTATATTCAGTAAAGATAATATGAATATTTAAATAATATGAGCATGATATGAATTTAATGGGTATTTCCAACTTACTCCCCCATTTTTGGTGACCATGCATTTCATGAGCGCCACAGCCATGTCGGCATGTCCATTCATGTCCAGCAATTGGCAAAGCTCCAGCATCTTCATGTCGTCGCCACCTTCCATGCCACCTTCCATGCCATCGCCATGCCATCGGTCGCCATCGTCTGAGAAGTAATTACTTCCAAATTAAATGTTATCCATTATATTATCAATATGTTTAAAAAGAAAGATAGTACTTCACCACGCATAATATGTCACACATCACACGATACAGTCGGGCGTTCACATTAGATCTAATTTGAATGACATTGAACGAAGCTGTTCGGTAGATTTATGGTGTAAATTAATTACTATCGATATATCTAATTTCAATGACGATATGCAGAGCTGTTTCATATTTCATTCCCGTTTCAACAGCCGCATTTATTGATGAGAAAATAATCAATATTGTCAGAGCAACGCCACAAGTTGCGTCCCTTGTTTATTCATACTCAAAATATAATTACATTTGGACAAAGATTTATAGTAAACTACTATTGTTTCGTGACCATCAATCTATTTACCGAAATACAAAATTCAATTGTTTAAATGCAAAGCACTTAGTTATCCAACACACTGAGTGTTTCGATATCTCGTTAATTAATGTTTTAATTCTGAAGCTTTAAGTGATCTCTCTGAATTCATATAGTAATTTCACCCTTGAAGGATTTAATGATGTCTGGCAGTCCCTTCTGTTCAGTAATGCAAGCGTTCATCTTGACTTCCATGTCCGCTTTATCTTCTCCCGCCTTCAGAGCCTTGTAGCAACTACGTTCCTCTGCGGACATCCTGCAGCAAAAAAAAAAATGATAGCGTTCTTTCTGAATAGACAAAAATTTCATAATATAAGGCTGTCATAGATGGCTCGGAGGCAAATGCAAAAAAAAGGTTTACATAAAAAAAATACCCGAACTAAATCATAAAATCAATGGAATATCCTCAAGTCCAGCATCAATGCGCTATTTAAATAATAATTTTATAGCTTTGTTTGAAGGAGAAATCTTCGTTAAACTATTTATTATTAACTAAAACTTCGAGCCTAATAATCTTGTTGCTACAAATGCATGATAATATTCATCATTAAAATATTTTTTAGTTTCTAAAGTCTCGAGTGTAATAATTTTGTCATTTCAAATGAAGGAGATGCGTTCGATAAAATAAAATTAATTATACCGAGGTCCCGAGTGGCCAGGGAGACCAAGGGCCAAGGAGGCCAAGCAGAGCAGAGCGATGACGGACTGCATCGTGTCGTTCACTTGTAAGATATCTGCAAGGTGGACACAAATGTGATGAATAGAACACAACTTATACAATTTTACTTAGCATTTAGAAAAAATCGAATCTTAAAAGAGAAGAAATCGACTAGAGAATAGGAGCCTAGAAAATTGAATTCTCCTACTAATCAACAAAAAATATTACAATGCTATCTTTAAATCTTTCTCACGTGTGAATAAAACTCTAAAAACAAATAATGTGAAGAATAAAGTAATCATGCCCCGACGTAATATAATTTAATGCTTTTTCAATGCAGTGTGAGATCCATGGCTCCCAAAATATTATTGTTATCAAGAGACCTGGAAATATTTGTAGCAGCGATCAGGATGTCACGAAGACTGCGCTTGACAAGATTTAGAGTTTTCTTATATACTCCACGACAATTCATGTGGCTTTGTCTTGCCCCAAAGGAAGACGCCAATCTTCATTCATTTGTATATCCCTGAATGAATAAAATGCAAAGCCCATGGTGCCGGACTCCAATGCATTGTACGACAACATTTGGGTACAATGCTTTGGAGTCCGGCAAATCAGTAACTTTTGGGACCAATAGGCAGTTTTTCTTGTCAGACAAGACGAATTGAGGTCCACGTATCTATCATTGATCCAAACCTGCATTGTTATTTAATGTCGCGGTAGCCTATGTAATTTGAATTTGATTTAGGAAGTAGGATACGAATTTTATCTTCGTCAGAATGCTTCTCTTCTTGTTAATCGTAGTAGTGCATTGTGCATTAAATTATGCAAGGGAGTTATTCAAATTGAAGGAAATGGCTGCATACATTCATTTTTTGCGTTTTACATCCACAGTTAGCGCTAATCTCGTTAGCATCAATCTAATCTTTGACGTAATTTCAAAACGCGATAGATAATTACATTGAGACCTATACCCTCCAAGTCTAAAATCATGTTACGAAAAATTGAAAATTCACAAAAGCTTGGTAAAATGCATTCATGTTATTAAATAAGGAGGCTGTAGTTGGCATTGCATTACGATCGACGTCTTAGAGATTTCAGTTGTGTGGGCAATTATATTTTTATTTTTGTAGTTACAAATTTTATTCCATTTAAAGACACTTACTAAAATAGTTTTATCAAATGAACAGACAGAACAGTGATGATCGCAACAAGACGAATTGTAGTCTAATAATTTGGAAAGTATGTTATACACGAGACTATTTATGTATGGCATTAACGAAATGTGTTAACATGCCGAAATCCATTCAAAGCGTGTAGGAATTGTTAGGCCCAAACATTGCCCCATTAAGATGTTATGAACATTATTTGAAATTATCTGATTGGACGCACATTGGTTGTAGAATATCGTGAACACAGTTAATGAAAATTTTGTGCTTAGCTGCTTCAATGCATAAATTGTAAGATATTATACGATTTTAAATAGTGGTTTATTTTACTTATTTAATTTATTACACATCAATTGCACAACAGCCCGATCGAACAACAGACCAATCATTCAATGAGCGATAGCTACTAATAATGAAGGACAGATTGTTCCATACATTGACACATCGATGTCATTTTTAGATAATAAAAAGAGTGGAGATAACACTAGGAAGAAAAAATGTTAGTAGTTCTTTCCTACTAGTGACAAGGTTTAGTATATGCTTCGGTCGTGTGAGAAGTATAGCAAATATTTTCCGTGTGTGAAAATTCCCAACACAACCTATGAACGTTGTTTGAACATATAAGTCAATCAACTTCTTAATAAAACCCCGTATTGAGAAGAGTGAGAAATGAAGTGATTGAAGAGAGTGATTAAACTGAAGAGTGAAGAGAGTGATCAAAGGGGAAGAGTGAGAACTGAAGATAGAAGGAAAAGTGACGTTGGAGAAAGAGGTAAGATAAGTCCGTAAGTGAGGTTATTACTTATTGCTGCATCAAAAAATTATCTGTATCTCTAATATAACATTGTCTACGATACAAACATTTTCTTCTCAATAATTTTCTTTCCAAATAATTTAGCAGATACTGCGCTGTTGGTGTGAAATTGAAAACATAAATTCCTTCAACAATAGTTTATACAGGGTGGCGCGCGGTAATTTGCTGATTTGGGAATGAAATAAAAATATTATGATCAATAGAAAAATTTATTTGCTATTTGAATTATAATGAACGGTAATGGAATTTATAAATTACGTGGTTTTAAATAGTGCTTCTGGCAAATGTCGACCTTCGCATTCCACACACTGCTATATATGTTTTCTGAAGTTTTCATGAACTCTAACAAGCATGCCCACTGGTATTCTACCAATTTCAGCTCCAATATTGTTCCTTAGGTGTTCCAAGGTGTTGTGGCGGTTGATATACACCTTAGACTTCAGGTAACCCCAAAGAAAAAAATCGCATGGGGCTAAATCTGGTGAGCGTGCTGGCCAGGTCACATCACCCCTCAAAGAGATAAGCCATCCAGGAAACATTTGCCTCAAACAATTCATGGTAACCCTTGCTGTGTGTGCAGTGGCACCATCCTGTTGGAACCATGTATCCTCTAATTCCATTGCCTCAAGAGCTGGCTGAAAATAATCCTGTATCATAGACAAGTACCGTTCGGAGTTCACAGTTATGACACGACTGTTATCCTGAAAAAAGTTATGCCCAATGATGCCTACTCGCGATATGGCGCACCACACAGTGACGCGGTCCGAATGTTTTGTGGTGTTGTAATCCTTCTCTTAGGTCCCTTCGTAGACATGACACATTCCCTGCTGTTCTGAATGCATTCACCCAATTTACAATTGATTGCCGTCCAGGAACACGTCCGCGTGAAGGAACAGCGAATCGTGAACGAAAAGCACGCTGCACTGCAATGATCGAGTAGGCATTTGAAAAATACGCTTTACACAAAATGACCTCTCCTCACGTGTCCACTGCATGATGGCAATTGAGAGCCAGACGAATACAAATTTCCCGCCATCCACTGTAAGCCACGTCCACTCTCCTCTGTCTTCGACCGTCAGTGCCGCCACAGCATGCAGTGCAAATAAGCAAATTACCGCGCTCCACCCTGTACTTATGAACAAGAACTCAAACACTTTGATATATAAAATTGAACCTCTGATAATTATTTCATTTAATTTGTTTGCTTCTCAGATTTCATTACCATATTATCAGCATGTTCTCTCCAGCAGGCAGCTGACGTGGAAACGCAACGTTGATTTATGGTTGAAATGTTGATCAATCAAAATTAAACGTTGAATCAACGTCTAAACGTAACCAACACTGGAATTAAGAGGCTCTGTTACCTAATTTCAACGGTGAAGCAACCTCGATATTGGTACGTTGAATTTTGATTTATTTTCCAACGTTGATTTTAACGTTATCACCCCAACATTGAATGGTACATAACGTATATCCCAAATTTGAAACTTTGGTTCGACATAAAGTTCACAACTTCAATCACACGCTTATCAATCATATATTTGAGAAAGTTCGGATAAACGCGTGCTCGAAAATTTTCCAAGATTAGATAAGGAACGCAGCGATGACTATTTTATATTAATTATCCGAGGAGCAGATCGAAGCGGTGACATTTCATAACGAGCGGTTGGTCACATAAACCCTCCGCGCTTTACTGATCTTACTTACAACTGTAAGGCTCGGGTGAAGGAATCTTTGATTGAAATTGATACAGCCGATATTTTAGCAGCTTTACGTACGTCGAATAAAACAACTACGAAATTTGGAAACGCATTAAATTTCAATTGAACAAGTATATTATCCATATCTATATTATTATGAAGTAATTCTAATTGTATCATTCATTCCTCGTCCAACAGCAGTCGGCAATTGCAGTTTAGTAGAACGGAGCGCCAGTTTTTCATGGGTTAAAAAACATAATCGTTCAACCCCACGAGGAAAGTTCAGGAAAAAATTTTTTCTCTTAAATTGTTATAGCCATAATTAAACTGAAATAAACTCTCCAAAAACTCTTTTTTCGACTGACATAAATTCAATGATATGACGTATTGAGTATACACTTAAAAATTTCATATGAATTCCATGGTTCTGTAACATTCAACATGTAATTAGGATTAGTCTATTAAACTAATTGAAGGAGTAAATTTTGTATTTTTGGTTTATTCTTATTAACTAAGACAAATTAAACGTTTCCAATTTTTTTATTCCATCATTATTTAACTTTGTTGTATATAGAGACTGTCAGTCTAAATTAGTCTAGAAAGACAGTCTAAGATATTAGTCGCAGCGGATTTTTTATTGAAACTATAGTGCCTTTCCATGACGGGAAGAACTGCACTGAATACATCTTTCCTTAAGTTTTTATACAAATTTGGACGCCGTTTACCTGGTCATCGTCTGCAATAGCTCACAGAAATCGCTGGTCCTTCTAACCGAGATGCGTCGCAACACATTTTCTATGTAAATGTGAACCCAATAATTTGAATTTCATCTATAGATACAATATATTTATTTCTATATAGCTATCTCAAGTGTGCATAGAGACATAGGAAATACATCGTGGTGCGTTTGCTTCTATACAGCATTGCGTCTACTCATGTTCTTAAGTCATATTAACTCCATTTACAACAAAAATGACTATTATAAGAGGAAAATGCTGTCACAATTAAACAGTGATTGTTATTTTAATAGATCTTAGACCAATAAATCATGAAAATTGGTTCCAAACTTCTCGTCGTAGTAGCAGTTTTTTCAATGACCTTCGGAATTATTAGCATTGTTTCAAATACCTCATCAAAGTTCAAAGCTCATCAGTCAAGAATCAAAGATAACAACTTAGGGCTTCAACCACCGTTCGTGATAATCGTCTGCAATAGTGAGTATGAGCTGCACGTCTGGCAGACACGTGCTCAGTCAATAGAAATTTTGCTGTTTCGAACGAAATTTTCATCTGCATGAGAATTCGTGCGCGAAGCTTCTGATAAATCCTCAAAATATTACAATTGCCATCAGTGCCTGAGATTTGCTAAAGGCACGTGAAGAATATTGAAATTCGCCCTGCTTAGATAAGCGAGCAAAACAGCAAAAAAAATACAATAAACCCTAAATAATATTTTTCCTACCGCAATTTATAAAAACCTTTTTTCAATAAAGAAATCCTTTACGTTCGCTTTTGATGTGTAGTCCGCTACACAAGCAACAGAAATAATTTTAGCCTGATTTTCAAATTTGAAATTATTGAATATCATGTGCTCATTTTAGTCACAGTGTTTCCTAAAATTATTTGTAATAAATCAGACTTTAATCAAACGTTATTTCACGACCACTTTATTTTACCTATGATCGAGTGTTTTTATACATACATTGAATTGGCATACTACGAAAAAAGAAACGGAAAGCTTTGAGCTTATTTTTTTAAATGTGCCTCAGAATAATATTATTACTGATGACCCTACTCATCGACATCTTTTGAGCATTTTATCAAAATATAGTCAATCGCAGGTGGAAAATCCGACCGAGAGGCAGCATCAACCAAGACCAAGTATGAAACTCAAATTCGGCAAACCAAGGCTTTAATAAAATCCGCTGTAGTGCTCACTCGCTCACCTCCGATCAGGTAATTTCGAGATAGAAATCCAATGCAAAATATTTAAATGTAATGTAGCTTCGGATTTATTATGAACTTTTCAAGTTGGAATCTATCCACATTTATAACCCACTGTGATTATTAGTCCGGACAGACTAGCCTATGTCAACTGCATGGGCGGTCAAAGCTTTGAAAGATTCGATCCAGCAACTACATGCTGGGGGAATTATGTTGTGTATAATTGTGTTATGCGTAAAATTACAGAGAAAATGTGTTCATATTTTTTATTATATGATAATTTTAGTTTATTTTATTCAGATTCACTTTATGAGAGTTCAACTGCATTTTATTTTTCACTCCCTGAAAATTATGATTGTAATTCTATTGCCTAATACGAGGGGCATTCGGAAAGTAGTACCCGTTTGGGAATTGAACAAAAGGAAGTAAATATTAACAAATGTAAACATGTTTATTGAAAAGAACATGTATTACACTACTTCTCTACATAATCTCCGGACAAATTTAAGCATTTGTCGTATCATGTCACGAGTTTTTGTATACCAGTGTCATATTACTCCGCCGCCAGTGTTTCTGGGATCGGCAAGGTGTACTGCTCATCGATTTCATGACTCGCTAAGACACAATCAATGCCAATGCATATTGAGCACCATTAAAAAAATTACGGCGGGCAATTCAAAATCGACGGCGAGGTCTGTTGTCTACTGGCATCATTCTCCTGCACGATAATCAGAGCTGGGCAGCGCTACTTTGAAATGTAGCGCCGCTACCGCTACATGCTCTAAATGTAGCGGGCGCTACCGCTACACCCACTAGATTGTAGTGGGCGCTACCGCTACCGCTACAGTAAAATGTAGCGCCGCTACATTAGCCGCTACAATGGCCAAAATTATTGGAAATCTTTAAATATTTATTGTTCTGCTATTGGGATTTACTCATAAACATTTAATGATGATAAAACATTTTCAAAACATATCAATGCAACTTTATTGCAATTTATCTAACTGAACTAGTATGGGTTAGATACAGTAAATAAAAGTTACAGTTATTTTTATGTTTTACCTTCCCTACATGGATGTCTACTTTAATCTACCAATCTCAAAAATTATCCACATATACATATAAAAAATCACTCATTTATTTGTATATATATGTGGATTATTTTTGAGATTGGTAGATTAAAGTAGACATCCATGTAGGGAAGGTGGAACATAAAAATAACTGTAAAAATAACTGTAAGCAAACTGAAACATGGAAAAATACCTGTAAGTGGTAACTGGTAACAACTTAACAAGTAACAACTAATATGTTGACACTAGTAACAGGCTGAGGTTGAAACGTTACACCGAAATCTTTCGTACAGTTTTATTATGTAATTTATATTATCTATGAATCATGCTGGTTTTCAAATAATATTTAATAGGTACTATTAAGTAAAATCTAAAGGCGTTATCTATGAATGTAACGGTAGCGCTGTAGCGGCAAAACCTCGTATCGCTACTGAAAATGTAGCGGCCGCTACATGTAGCGCGCTACTGCCCACCTCTGACGATAATGCCAGGCCGCATACGGCTCGGATAACACAACAACTTCTCCAAAAATTCAAGTGAGAAATTTTCGACCATCCTCCCCTACAGTCCGGACATGGTTCCTTCAGATTTTCATCTGTTTACGAAACTCAAGGACTTCGTGGCAGGGACAAAGTTTCAAAATGGTGAAGAACTGAAAGAACACGTGACTGCGTATCTCAATACACTGTCGGCGGAGGCAAATGACACTGGTATACAAAAACTCGTTACACGATACGACAAATGCTTAAATTTGTCCGGAGATTATGTAGAGAAGTAGTGTAATACATGTTCTTTTCAATATACATGTTTACATTTGTTAATATTTACTTCCTTTTGTTCAATTCCCAAACGGGTACTACTTTCCGGATGCCCCTCGTAATATCATTTACCAGTAACACGTATACGTATGTTGGTTTAATTAGGCTGAAGCATAGTTTGCCTATATTTCTTTTGGCAGCGCTGCCATAGGGACAGAGAATGTTTAGCTACAATTGTTATGACAAAAACATATTACGCAAGCGACACAGATAAACAGTCGACGGTAACTGTGTTTCAAAGCTGTTAAGGTTGATGATACTATTCAAATAATTATCATACTCTAATGACAAATAAATATAGGTACTGTTACACTCCCGTTCTATTAGTAAATGAATTGAAAAGAATAGCCGCTCTAATATATTATAGATCAGCCACTCCGTCTTCTTTCTCTCCTACTCGTGAATTCCGTTATCCATTTTCTCATCTATCACATATAAATTGGATCCATCACTGTCGCGCAGGTTCATCGTCTTGGTGGATGACGACTCGGTGCAGCCAGCTCTTGATGAGTACGTAGCCCAGTGGCCAGATAACGTTCGAAATCGTATAATTTTGAGTTATCGTTCAGTATTCCAACCAGACGAATGGCATTTCATCAATCTGTATGAAAAATGTGCAACCGAAAAGTTATTCCTGCCGTGGGCGTTGCCCGAGATCGACTCCGTGATTTACCTGGATACTGATTACGTGTTTCTGAGACCTCCAGACCATCTAACTGAGCACTTCAAGCACTTTGATGACAAGCAGGTGTTGGGAGTGACTCCTGTTGACGGCTATTATCTGCAGCACATCACAGAGGTAAATCCATCTGAGCAAAAATGAACTATCGATGCAAAGTAACGATTCAAGATTCAAAATAACGATTTGAGATTCAAGTAACTTTAATTTAATCATAGCAGATGTTTAATTTTTAAAAATATTTCAATAACTGTGTTTATGAGGCCCAACTAACTCAGATCCCGTACTACGGAAAGAAAGGTTTAAGCACAGCGCTCCTATTGGCTAACCTCACGCGGTGGCGTAATCTTCCCTTCGATTGGCTGCCAACGGTCGTGAGTGTGACGGAAGCTTTCCAGTTTGCTATTGCCACAGGAGATCAAGACATTTTTAACATCGTCTTCAGTGAGGTAACTAACACTTTTGCGATCTATTGCGTGGTATGTAGTTCCACAAGGAAAAATCATTATGATACGAGGCCTGTTTTTTAAGTCTACCGTTTTGGAATTAAAAAAAGACGTGCAAAGAGACCATTTAATTTATTTTTACATGAAAGCCTGTACCTTAATCTACTTTTCTACATAATTTCGGTGAATATTGAAGCACTTGTCATAACGTGGCACCAATTTTTGAAAAAAACTGATAAAATTCTGCCGCCTGACTTGTTAACCACTGCAACACAAATGTTTTGCCATCGTTATCGTCTTGAAGGCGCCGACCGCCCAGGTGTTTCTTCAAGTGGCAGTGTGATGCATTTGATGCAGTGTGATGCATTTGGTGCAGTGTGATGCATTTGGTGCATCAAATGCATCGCACTGCACTCTTCATTTGTGATACAGTGGTTAACAAGTCAGGCGGCATAATTTTATCGGGAGGGTATATTCAAAAACTGGTGCCACGTTAATGATGTTATGACAAGTGCCTCAATATTCACGGAAATTATATAAAAAAAGTAGATTAAGGTACAGGCTTTCATGTAAAAATAAAATTATTGCGATATCTTTGCACGTCTTTTTTTTAATTCCAAAACGATACTGACTTAAAAAATATGCCTCGTATCAATGTGACCAGCTTTCCAAAGTAATATATAGATACATTCAATATGTCATAAAGTAATCTTAAAGTCAATCATCGTTGGCTGAGAATTTTTATCATTCAGCACTATTTCGTTTACGTAATGAAAGTTTCGCTGTTTGAAAAAGTTATTCGTAGAATTGCAAGTTAGTTGGACACTGTTAGGCAAATTTTTCACTCTAATACTCAAGTTGTTATATCTATTTGTTGGAATATTAATAAATTTGAGATTGAGTGTAACGCAAAAATTAGCTAATCGTCCTATAAATGAACAAAACGTATTAACGCATCCGTAGAAAGTAATGAGACTAAAGATTTATCGTCACCTAAGTTTCCAGAATACATATACGACCTGAGCTGCGACTGGAGTGGTACCATAGAACAGTGCTGGACTGTCAACTGGAAATGCAGCACAATCGAGCATACAGGATTCTCTTTGGTTCATGGCGCTAGGAGAAGATTTTTTGCTGATGAAAGTCTGAAACATATCAACAGAGATTATTTCTTTCGCACATTGGTCCCAATGCAAGTAAGTGTTATCAACCAGACTTTATTTATAATAACGTTATGCAACGTGTCTTGTTTAAGCTGTAGTTCTAGTAGCTGTTGATTTCATCAAAAATGTGTTTGTTATTCAACGGTAGCATTAAGTTTATCGGGCATATGCTTATTTTTTTCATTTAACGTTCCACAATTCCTTGCACAGGGCCATTTCATTTATGTTTTATTGAAATAAAAAGTCTACTCTTCCTCAACTGGCAAATCGTTCTTGATACCTCAATTTCAACATCATACAACAGTTATCCCACTAATAGCAATCCCCTTAAGGCTCGTATTGAGAGCCGCGAGCCCTCGATCAGGCAGGCTCGGCTGTTCTCCAATGTGATTCTATCACTAAGTTGGTTCATTAAAACTCAACTCTTAAATAAAATATCAATCAGAATTTTTTCATGCTCATCTGGTTATTTATTTGAAATTTCTTTACAGCAGAAAAATAAGTAAACTTTTTTATCATCAATGATAGAGGAAAATGTTCGTCATTTACGTTCATTATACCTGCGACTGCAATCTCTCCTAGATATGGTTGTTTCTTTTACGAAGAAAGTAACAATTCATCAACCAGAACAAACCAAACTAACAATTTATTGGCAACAGTAATAGGATGAATTAAACGATTCAAACTACTACAGCTGTAAACGAAGATGGAGTGAAATAATAAACTGAAAATGAAGACATTCAGGCTAATTTAAATTTGTAAGGAATTTACACGAATATAATCGCTGATAAACTTTATTTGAGAATCCAAAAGATAAATCTTCGCAGGTTTTCGAAGGCAAGAGAATAAGAAGTGAAGAAGCAGTGGAGCAACTGCAACCAGAGAAAAAAAACAGTCTGATTAACTGACAAACGTAGTTCAAGTATGCTTTATATGATCATATTCGGTATTCCAATTTATCGGCACATAATTTGACAGTGAACTTGATTCCCAGTATTAACCTTGCGAAACTAAATACGACAGCAGCAAACAGACGAGGCGTTCCGTATAACGACAAAGTTCCCGCAGAATGTGTGACGTGTGATGCGAGTCGTTATACTGGAACGTAACTATGACTTCTTGAATTACAGTAAAATATAAAGGACTGTTTAATTGAGCAATATGATCTCAAATATAGTCGTTCAGTTAAGTGCGATCAAATTTTGATTTAACCAACCTTCTAAATTATTGTCGATGGATCCATTTAGAAGTGGCATTAGATGCCATTCAGAGGTTTGACTTAGATAAAATGTACAATGGTTAGTAATAGGTTGGCCCAACTCAGCTAATTTAGTAAATAAGTTAATTAGTAATAAGGTTAAGGTTTTAGGCCGGCAATAAGGCCATAAATAATGCGTCGTAGACGACTTCGCATTGTTGGGTCCAACCAAAGAAGTGAATTTGCATACATTAACAGGACTAGGGGCCCATTCCATGCATTAAATCAAGTTAATATAGAGAGAAAATGCACATATTATGCTGTACTTTATACAGCAATCTAGAATGCACCATTTGTCACCTCCTTCCAAGCCCATATCTGTCAATTCCTTATCCTAGACGTTAATAACTATTCAAACTTAATCTTCATGGTCTTCCTTAAATTAAAACGGAACAGAATTTCTTATAAATTTTTGGAATATTTTTTTTTCTATTTGGAGAAGACTTATAAGATTAAAAAAACGCTAGTTGCTCAAAATCAGTATTTTCGGAAATTACAAATAAGCAAATTGAACGTCAGTGTTAAAATTCAGTATCAGTGATATAGGTTGATTTTTAATCAGGTACGATAGTTTTTACGACCAGTTTTCTTTATTTGGTTATTGTATGTCTGCGTCAAGACTGTAATCGATTTTCACCACATGTGATTAAAATCAGTTTTTTTAATAATTATAATGATGAATTTGAGAACTTAATATCTATTCCTTCGTCCAGGAAATATTTCTGGCATGGGAGCGGCATGACGTCAACGATCCTGTGTCGGTATTGCTCCGATATTTGACCGACGCTCTGCACGCTCGGGAGGACGAAGTTCGCAGGATGAGAGGCAGTAATAAAACGCATCAGTTCTGCACTTATAGTTCCCAGAAGCTTTTGAAACAATTGTCTGACCAAGTTTGAATTTATTTGTTTTTCGTTCCGTATCTCTCTACTTAACCAGTTTCGTAAGTATCTCAGAGTTGCTCAAGACGAACTCGAGGACGTACGAGTATAACCAGGCAGAGCATAAATTAAGGGTACGTAGGTACGGGGGTGCAGCCGTAGACCAAAAACTTTACTCTTAAATGAGCCGTGGAGCCAACGCCCAGCCTCACCAAGATTCAACTTTGCTCAGCCTCAGAGCTAGAAGCCACAAGCTACGCTTGATTTCCGTGATCCCGACAAGCGATACACTGCCGAAAGATAATAGCGCCTTAGGTCTTCAGCCAATGCTTATGCATGCACGCTCATAAGCAGGCAGTTCCTCATCCGGCTGTCCCTACTCCGGCCTAACCTCTTCTGGCCTAACCTATTCACGCTGTCCCGGCTCATAGCCTTGCAGCCAATGAATGGCTCTACCAGCACACTTGGACCGCCTTTCTAACTTTTTGCAGCCAATGAGGTTAGGTTAGGTCCGCTCAGGTTTGTTTTGGGTGTGGAAATGTTGCAACTTGTGTAGGTTAGGCCAAAAGAGGTTTGGCCAGATGCAGTATGGCCATGCTTATCTTTACAAAGCTTATTTTGTGGTTGTGGACGTTCGGCGCTATGGCTTTGAGCATTTGACTTCAAAGGCTGTTATGCCCTCTAGCGTTCTTACCTACGGAAAGTAATATGAACAAGTGTGAAGTTTGGCAAAGCTGGCCTCCGGCATGAGCCCCCAGCCGGATGCGGAACTGCGTGCTTTTGAGCGAACATGCTTAATAAGTATCGGCTGAAGACCTACGGCGCAATTATCTTCAGACATTGTGTTACTGGTCTGCAGCTTCTAGTTCTGTGACGATAAATTTAAAGCATGGTGAGGACGGGCGTTGGCTCCAGGGCTTATTCAAGAGTAAAATTTGTGGCCTACGCTACCGGCAAGTTAGTTTCCTACTGAGTTTCCCAAAGTATCTATTTAAAAAAAGAATAAAAATGCTTTGATCTCGTATATTTCATTCACGCTCTGAAGAAAATAATTTTCTTATATATAATCGGTTGCCAATGTCCATACCATTTTTAGACATTTATTTTGAAGTTTCATCTGTCAGGCTAAATCTGAATCTCGAATTAAGGTACGATTCTCTGCATTCGCTTTAATGTCTAGGGTGTCCACGCCGTAATTTCCAATAAATATATTTTAAATCTCGTTGTTGTGTTTCGGGCTCCAACCTCTTATTTATGGCTCTGCCCTTGTTAATTAAAACACGGAATTTTTTAAACGCTGTCTCCGTGATGTCTTGATCGCTTTATCAAAGTTGGATCAAACCACCGTCACGATACCCGTTCCATTTTCGTATTTATCCATCTAATTATAGCGACGAATATCGCTAATGACGTGAAAGTAAATTGAATAAAATAAATGATAAAATAGACAAATGATAAAATAGATTGACTTATACAGGTTACGGTGTTCAATATGCAATAGCACACGCTCCGCAATGCCGGTAAAAACCGAACTCTATAGCACTTGCTGCTCGGAAGTTTCTACTGGACGAGTATTACTACTGCCATATCTTCCTTACCTACTACGGTATACGCGGTATGGTTGGAGACCTTGCATTGCTAATTCTTCATCTAATATCTCCTTATTTAGACGTCTAGCGTGCACCGCAGCGTCTAGTTGGTCGCCACTCAAGGCGGGTGCGGTGCGGAAACTGGAGGCAGTGCAGCGCGCGTACCTTCACGTACAGGATCAGCGGCATGAGGGAGCTGAACCTGAACTACTGGGGAAGGCTGAAATACCTGGAACTGTACTCACTGGAGAGAAGAAGGGAAAGGTATATCATACTGTACACTTGGAAGATGATAAACGGACTGGCTCCCAACTTTGAGAGTGAGACCTCCAAAATAANAGTGTGCACCGCAGCGTCTAGTGTGCACCGCAGCGTCTAGTGTGTGCACCGCAGCGTCTAGTGTGTGCACCGCAGCGTCTAGTGTGCACCGCAGCGTCTAGTGTGCACCGCAGCGTCTAGTGTGCACCGCAGCGTCTAGTGTGTACCGCAACAGGCGCCTGCCGCTGATGACCTTCACAGCTCGGCGGTCGAGCGCTCCAACGACACACTTTCAATTCTGCTCGTTTTCGTTGCAGCTTAGCTCACGACATTCAGTCTACTGTAGTTATCTGTTCTGTTCACGACATTCAGACTACAAGTGTTAACTCCAACTTAAATCAATCTACGCTCACTGAAAATGAGGTTTTCCTAGCGAAGTGTAAAATTTATCGTAAATAGATCATTCATTCATGGCGTTCTAAGTGAAAAATAAGGACATAACTACATCGTTCACTTTTTCTAGTAGAAGTTAACTATTGATAAGAACCTTTCGTGACAGTCCGAAGGCTGCAGGAATGCAAACTACTTCAGATCCTGCAACGACAATAATGCGTGCGGTTCGACGTCGTTATTGACAAATGTTAAACAAGCGAGATAAAGAAAAAACAAGCGAATTGCAGGCACCTGATAAGGAATTAAAAAAAAAACAAGAATGTTTTTCAATAAAAAATGGGTTTTCGTGGAAACCGCCTTCAATGAAACACTGAAACTTATATCTCCAAATTTTCCTACAGGTATAGCTACATTTAATCACTATTCCTGTAAACATAAACAAAGTTCAAGATTCTGCAAAATAACAAAATTCAAGATTTTACAATTGTGATGACTATTCAACATATTTCAAGGGTGATGATAATCTAACATAGTTCATGAGTGATGAGTAATCAACTTACATAGTTCATTTAATGTTGCGGTCATAGACCAGGAATAAGTAAGTAACGGGACGTCAATGGCTCACTTGAAATAAAGTCTACGGTAAAAGAGACCTACACTTTACATGCCTTCTGTTTGAATACCAATCTTAAATTTAAATTTGAAACGATATGATTCAAGATCCCAGCCTGAATTTAGGAGATGCGGATACATCTTAAGGCCATATCCTAAATTTAAGAAATTTGGATACTATTTAATGCCATATTTTAAATTTACAAAGATGCGGATATATTTTAGAATTTAGACTATATAGGTATACTACACTCCATTGGACACGTAAAAATTTAAAGCCAAATCCTACATTTCACACTATGCAGATATATTTATGGCTACATCCTACATTAAAGGAACTATACAAGCAGTGGCATTCAAATTTCAACAGCTATATATAACGTAAGCATGTCACTTTTGCCACAAATGTCGTTTGCCTTGACATTGCTAATTAGAAACAATGTGAATATTTTCGTGCTTCCACAAGCCCAAAAATGAGATCAATAATTTTTCAAGGTCATTCATCCCCATGCAATTTCGTAACAACCGATTTTGGTACATTACAAACACCATAGTTGACAGTCAAGAACCGTTCATAACTCAGTGTCGTCGATGATACATTTGTTAAAGAATGCAAGAAATATATGATTATTAATTTTCCAAGAGGCATTCTGTTGTAAAAAAATACTCCCGATAAAAAAATTTTCTGTACTAATATTTGCGAACTCGTTGAGTTCTAATCAGTCGATCTACCATTTGAAAAGTTTTGAACTTCCACGGCCACGCTGATGTACCGCCTTTGTCGTCGCCCAGTCGTTTTCGGAAAGGTAGTTCCCATCAGAGACAAAAAGGGCTAACGCAGGTCCACTATAGACAACTGACGTTAAAATAATGTTGTTTAAACGTCGTTGCAACAAAAATCAGCTTGAAATCAACTCCTGGAGTTGAATTCAATCGTTAGGTATCAATTGTCATTTGCCCGGACAAGAACGTAACTAACTTGCACCTTCTCTAAGTTGGTCAAGCCGATGTTGCAAGATACTGTTGCTTGATGTCATCTCATAATATTAGGAATATTTCTTGACCTGAGAGCTAAAAGCCAATTGCTACCAAATCTGGCTTCAGTTCCGAAACGTTCTTTTAAATGAGCTTAAATTCTCAATGAAAAGTGCTTGGTCAAAAAAAAGATTATTAATGACTCAACTTACTTTTAGTGATAATGCGTTTTGGGTGATTCCTCTGACAATGGGATAAATGTTGTATTGGAAGGTGCGTCATGTAGCAAGCTGGTGCGTCATGTAGCAAGCTGGTGCTGAATGTCGTGGTGAAATATTTAGCTATTCAATAAGTTGTTAATGATTTATTGGTTGTAGGTAATAACTTAATAAGGGATTAGTTAGTAGTGCTTTGGTGGTGCGTTGTTAGTAGTGCGTTCACTAAGTGGTGTGGTACGCTGATTGGGCGTCGGTCATGCGTTTTCAGTGCGTTAGTGGTGTAATTGATTTGTTGGTAGTGCGTTGAATGTGCATTGGTGGTGTATCGGTGGTGCTGTGGTGGTGCTGTGGTACTGCTTTGATGGTGCTGTGATGGTGCTGTGGTGGTGCTGTGGTACTGCTTTGATGGTGCTGTGATGGTGCTGTGGTGGTGCTGTGATGGTGCTGTGGTGGTGCTGTGGTGGTGCTGTGGTGGAGCTGTGGTGGTGCTGTGGTGGTGCGTCGGCGATGCTGTGGTGGTGCTGTGGTGGTGCTGTGGTGGTCCTGTAGTAGTGCTGTGGTACTGCTTTGGTGGTGCTGTGATGGTGCTGTGGTGGTGCTGTGATGGTGCTGTGATGGTGCTGTGGTGGTGCTGTGGTGGTGCTGTGGTGGTGCTGTGGTAGTGCTGTGGTGGTGCTGTGGTGGTGCTGTGGTGGTGCTGTGGTGGTGCTGCGGTGGTACTGCTGTGGTGGTGCTGTGATGGTGCTACTGTAGTGGTGCTACCGTGGTGTTGCTGCTATGCTGCTGCTGCTGCTGCAACAGTGTTGGATGTACTACGGATGTGTTGTACTACGGATGGTACAANTGCTGTGGTGGTGCTGTGGTGGTGCTGTGGTGGTGCTGTGGTGGTGCTGTGGTGGTGCTGTGGTGGTGCTGTGGTGGTGCACGCAGCAGTCAAGGTCAGCGTCACAAGGCGGCGCTGTGAGGCCGCTAA